GTTTCTTCTGGTGTAAAATGAAGGAGTGGATAACACAAGCCAGATACAAAGCCCTAGGACCTTGGATTCTCAGCCATCGTGATGATCTTTGCATCCCAAAAACACTGGGGAAGGAGAAGGAAAACACACACACACACACACCACACATGTCATCACACACCTGCCTTTACCCCATTCTTTAGGCAAACTCCTACTCATTCCTCATGGGCCAGGTCAAATGCCTGTCTGCCCTGAAGCCTCCTTACCAATTTCCCCAAGTTCAGAAGTTTTTCACCCCGCTTTGTGTTCCCAAAGCACTACTGCTGTCTCCACCTTATCTATGCTTTGGAAGCATAAAGTGGGGTGGAAAACTTGTGAACTTTGGGGGAGTCAAGTAAGGCTTCAGGGTGGACTGGTATCTGACCTGGGCCATGAGGAATGATCAGGCTGGTTCCCTCCAGCCTGGGTTTGGGGTGTGGTGTACTCCTATACCTCCATCCCCAGAGATTAGTATGGAGCTAGGGACATGATGGCTGAGTGAAAGTTGAGTGAAAGAGGGTGACCACTGCCTCAGGAAAGAGACAGTGGTGGGAGCCAGCTGCCCCCCCTAACCTGCCCTGACCAAGGACCACAACCTGCCTCTCATCCCCTCTGCATGGTGGAGTGGTGGTGGAGGGCGTGACCTGTCTTCTCATTCTCCTCTCTCAATCAGGAACCTACTATCAGTTAGATTCCCCTTTCTGCTCAAGACTGAACCCACTCCCCCAATTTATACGTTGGAATCTAACCCCAAGGTGATAGTATTGGAAAGTGGGGCCTTTGGAAGGCAATTAGACAATGAGGGCAGAGCCTCATGAATGGGATTTTTGTCCTTGTAAAAGGAGCCCCAGAGAACTGCCTCACCCTTTTTTCCTTGTGAGGACCCAGCGAGATGTCTCTGAACCAAGATGAGGCCCTTGCCAGACACCAAATCTGCCTTGATCTTGGGTTTCCAGAACTGTGAGTAGTAAGTTTCTGTTGTTCAGAGAGAAACCGCTCCATCTCTCCCAGTCTGCAATGTTTTGTCATAGCAGCCACAACTGACAGAGACAATCTGGCTTTTCTTTTCCACACTTGGACCAGCAGCCATGCAAACATTTTAGAGCAGCAAGTACTGTATCTGCCAGTAATTATGCAAGGCTGGGCCACATCCATCTAGTTCAGGAGGAAGCCTCCCAGTCCTCAGCCTTGAGCTGCCGGTGGTACTTCACATAAATGACACAGCCCCTGAACACTGCTGGACACGTATCTCTCTGGCCTCTTCCACACAGCCTGCCTCAGGCTCAACTTTGGAAGGGTCCTGAAATACAGGTGCTTCTTTGAGATCTCTTATCTCCTGACATCTCTCTCCAGACTTTTCTCTCCACCCATCCTCCTGTCACTATTCTCTATAGAATTCTTCACACGTCCAACCTCGCTGTCTCTGAACTCCACATATGTCACTTAGCCCCTCTCTTCCTTACAGTGTCACCCTGGGCTCACTACTAAGCTCCCTGAAGACAAGGGGCTGTGTTTCCTGTGTTCAATCTCGAGCACCTGGAGTGTGCCTAGTACACAATCATTTGGTCAAAGTTTACTATATGAAAGGAGTCAGCTGTCACTGGTTGCCTCTGCTAGTGTCTCAAGATCGCATGTTCTGTTCTCATGTCTAGAATAGAACTCATCACCCTTCTGGCCCCTGTCCTCTCTCTGCCCTTCTTGTCCTGGCTGACAGCTTTCCCCCAACAGCCTTGGCCTTGTATGCTGGGGATGTCAGAATTGTCCCTCACCTAGCTCTGTTCCTGTCCCTTGTCTCTCTGAAGGGCAATGCTAGCTGTGCCAAGTTATTGGAAGATGGCATGCCCCTTGCGGTTTTGCAAAAATCCATCTTTCGTCTTTGCTCAAGGTGTTTCCTTGCAACCTCAATGGGGAGTTTTCCTAGACAAAAGTGTTGAGGACCAATGTAAGACTGAATAATAAATGAGTGGCAGAAATAATGGTGAGTGTTGATCAGTGAAGTCCTTATGAGAGAGTTCTGAAGCGATCATTGCCTGGACACCTCCTATTGCTGAGCACCTATGGAAGATACATTCATAAAGCACCTTCTAGTTTTAAGGCACTGCACATCCTATTTCCTGTAGACCTTCAAACTCCCCTGTGGGGTCAGCTTCAACATAATTCCATTTTAGGGACAAAGAGGACTAAGGCATTGAGCTATTCAGGAGATTGTCACACAGCCAAAAAGCACAGAGCCAGGCTGACAACTCAGCCTATACTGCCTCCCTTATACCTCCTTTAGGTATGGACCTAGCCAACTGGCCCTCCATATAAGCTGTCTTGCTTCCTAACTTCTCATTTGACTTGCTTTTAGCTACGAGATTCTGCATGCAGAGATCACCAGTTGCCTGGATGATATGTATTCTGTCCTTCTTCCTTCCAGGGATGGAAGTGGCATTAAGTCAGACTAAATGAACTACACTTCCCAGACTCCTCGCAGAAGCAGGTGGTCAATGAAACATAATCAGAAGTTGTCAGATGGCGATTATGGGAAAACTCTTCAAAAGGAGCCAACACACCTGTAAAGGTTCTCCTTTCCCTTTGCCCCCTCCTTCTTGATGCCTGGACCTTGGACACAGTGGCTGGAATTGTAAGTTCCATGCAGACTGCAGACTGTGAGTAGACCCAAAGGCAGATCCCATGCTATTAGGTATGATAAAAAAATAAGGTGATTGTTTACTTTAAAAAAAGAAAATCTACTACCATAAAAGACACATGACCATTAATCCCCCTAAAATACTTCCACTCTCTTCAAACACACGCATCCCATTCTTGCCACTTTCTGAAACAGATCTGAAACATCTTTCTTGAGTGTCTTTAGTGTCTTTAATTGCATTGTCATGGCTGCCTCAATGTCCTGAATTGAAACATTTACTTTTCATGGTCATTTGGACTTTGGGGAAGAGCCAGAGTTACATGGTGCCAGATCCAGTGAATAGGTGAATGAGGACATACCATGTTCTCTCAGGCTTGCCTTTCTGTTGGATGGTGCTCAGCAGCAGCAGCATTTGCTGTACTTTTTATCACACCTTGTCAGGAACTCATGAAAGACGACTTCAAAAATTGTTTCAGAAAGTGGCAAGGAAGAGGGGATAAATGTGTTTGTTCAACCAAGTGGGGGTATTTTGAGGGGGATTAGTGGCAATGTGTCTTTTACTTATAATAAAATTTTAAAATTTAAACACTAACCAAAATTTTAATTTTGATTGCACCTCAAAAGGATGAAAGAGCAGAAAGGTGAGGAGAAACCTGGAGCTTTTGTTTTGCCTTGTTTGCAATACTGGAGACTGAACCCAAGAAATGCTGAGCTACATCTTATTTATTTATTTATTTATTTATTTATTTATTTGGGCTCTCACTAAGTTCTTCAGGTTGGCCCCAAACTTGCTCCATTTAGAAAGGCCAGTGAGAAATCCTTTTAAAAAACTTTCATAGGTGGGTTTTAAATAATGAATACTCTATGTGTGTTTTGTAAACCAAAAAGATTTCCTACCTTTGTACATTTTGCTGAGGTTTTTAAATCCACTTCCATTACCTGAAAATAATATAGCAGAATACTGTGATGTTATTGGGTACTGGACTGTTCATTTCACCCTCTTCTACATATAAAAAACTGGCCAAAGGCAAAAAGGTATCGCATTATCATTCATGAATTTTGGGTAAGCAGCTAACACCACATTTTCATACTCCAACACACAGCTTCTCTGAGAAGCTCGGTTGGAGCCCTATGGCTCAAGCAAGAATTCACGCTGGATCCTGCTGCCTTACCCCAGCAGAATTGTAGGATCCACAAGAACAGTCCCAATTTCAGGACAAAGTCTACTAACTCACTGATTAGCTGAGCTCTCAGCCATTTAACATTCTGAACTTCCATTTCCTCTTTTATAAAATCATTTATACCGTGTGAGTCAAAATTTCCTCTCAACCCTGAGGTTTTATTATATGTTGTTCCAGAAAGCAGGTGTTATTCCTGGCTTTATTCCACATTGTATTTCCAGTAGCTAATATAAGACTGAGCTATGGTTTATGGCCACAGACCAAGAAATGGAGGGAGGAGGGAAGGGACCAGCGAAAGGGAAGGAAAAGTGGAAGTAAAAAGAATTAAGATGTGTCATATACAATATCAATTCCCCATGACGAATGTAATCATTATGTACTAATAAATATTTTTTACTTCAGATTTTAAAAAGTAAAATGGTTCCCATAGCCTTATGTGTTTGGAAGATGATTGGACTCTGAGTGCCAGGCAGCTGGTCTGCTCTTAGGGAGCGGGGCTTGATTAGAAGCGGTCACTAGGGTTATGACCTGGAAGGGGGTATCTCCCTCCCTACCCCTCCCTTGTCTCTCTGCTTTTTGGCCACCGTGATGTGAGCAGATTTCTACCTCCAGGCCCCTCCACCATGCCTTTCTGCCTTGGAGCCAGCTGACTGAGACAGAACTCTATGAACCATGAGCCAAAATAAACCTCTCTTCATTGAAGTTGTGGGGATGAAGACTGGACGTTCATTTTCAATTTTTCCAGGAACTGCCCCAGTCCTCAGTATCCTCTCTTAGCCCAGCTTGAGAATTTAGACATTTATGACATTCCAATAGGTGACTCAGTATCTATTCACATAGAAGCCACACTTTATACCCTTTGGATGTGGCATGCAATACCCTTGTGCTGCAATTTAATACTTAGGAAAACCAGTTTGCCATTTAATACATTTCCTGCCCAGATGAAATGGAGACAATACTTACTATCCAACATTAAGACTCTCCCAAGCTCCTTTCAACTCTTCTTTCCACAACATCACACAGACCCATGGAGACTGCTTCCATCACCTACCTTTGCAACCTTCACACTGCTCTTTTTTATTCCCTAGAGTTCAGACACATCCTGTTCGACAGTCAGGCTCCTTTTCACACTAAACATGAGTAATGTGACAACCATATTTGTGACCCACCTTCTACATATGTGCTCTCTTATGTCTACTTCTGTTCTCTACTTCCTGGGATGTATTGATAGAGGTTCTCCCCATCATCTGAGAAGCAAAATGCAAATTTAGTGAACCAAAGATAAGAAGATCCAAATGAATCCCCCTAAGAACTCTGTTAGTGCAGACAGTGGCTCAAAGGACTGGACTGCAGCAATCGGAGAAGATGCAGCTGGCAGTATGGTGACAATCTGTGGACTCCACTGCTCTTCAAAGTCTGTACCAACCGTACTTATAGGGATGGAGGGAAAAATATCACTTTGCTTCTGACATACGAATTCAGATTTATCTTTTTAGCTGGAACCAGGACCTAAGAGAAGTGGCAGAGGCTTGCCCCCCTCAATCCTGCACGTGGACTTAGTCTTATTCACAACAGAACCCTAAAAAGATGCAATTGTTCCCACAGAACAAAGGGATAAAAAGACACACATTAGATGTGCACAGAAAATCTCACTTTCTTCTTGACGGTTTTATATTTTCCAAGTTTCATAATGGGTACAAATTCCTTTCATAACTCTCCAAAGAACATTATTTAGAAAGGTAAACAACCAAGTTAAAATAAATTCCTAGTATATATACCCTTGTTTCAGTTCCTTAGCCATAATACGACCATAATAATACCTTCTTTAAAGGATTACTGTGAAGATTTAGTGAATTAATACACAAGAAGCCCTAAGGAGAGTGCCTGGTGTGTAGTAATTATGTATTTGCTGTTATTACTTATTGCAGCAGGGTTGCCATTGCTCAAAGTATTTTAGACCACTTTTGGGGAGCATTCTATTCAGGATCTTAAACACATTCTCTTGAATCTCCTCAATGAGACTAAAATATCTTCCCTTGAAGGTGTACTAATTCTTGGGAGCAGTCAACTAGTTTGGGGTCTAAAATAAAGTGTACTTATGAAGTCAAGGGCTTGGTATTCTGTGTTATTTAGTGCCTGTGAAGAATTCCATACAACATGTGTGCACACACACACCCAGACAGTTCAGCACCAGCTAGGTCTGGGTCAGGCCCTGGGAATAGGTTCTGCCTCTGTTAGAAAGAGATTGAAAAATAAATCTTCATGATGACAACTCTTAGATCAATACTGAAAGCTTTACGGATTGGTGTACAACCAAAGGGTAAACTTCATAAAAGGCTGATTTACATTTAAATCCAAGTCTTTTTGTTCCTCAAAGTTTGCTGATGCCAAGTTTTAACTATGAAATGTCATTGTTTTCATACAAATATTCCCAAACACTACCAGTTGTCATTTTGGCATTAAATAGGATTGCAACATTATAATTATTAGTATTTTTAAAAGCATAACATCATTGTTCTGTAAATCATTGCAAGATCACATTATCCTACCCACAATCTTCTTTTAAAAAATGAATGGGGCACTAGCATCAAGCCAGTGGGGCTGCTAAAAAGAATGGCAGCTACCTCCTTTTACTGGGACCCCAATGGTCTTGTACTAGTCCTATATTGCCCTAATAGAACATGTTGCCATGGCATGGCTCACTGTGCAAAAGGTAAATAAACATGCACTGAAAATCTTTTCTCAAGATGGAAAGGATTTTGATAAAATTTTACTTGTTGCAAAGCAAAAGAAACCTCTGTGCTCCTAATTAAGCAATTCTTTACAAAAACATTTCCCAATTGAAAAAAAGAAAAGGCTTCATTGCCCTACCATCAGCAAGTGTTCCACTTGTGACTTCACAATGAAATCTAAGTATATTTCTTTACGTCTCTGTCATTTTTAATCTTTCAAGTGGGAATGGTTTTTAAATGTCTGTGCTCTTGGAGTTCCTAGACAGTCACCAAATCACACCTCTAGTATTGTACTGACAGGGCAATAGCATGGCAATTAACAGCACACGCTTAAGAATGGAATACATCTAATTTATCTCACTGACTCTTCCACTTTTTTTATTAATACGTGTTTACAGTACATAATATTTACCTTCCTTGTGTGAAATTGGTACATGTACATAACACATCTCAAATCCTTTTTCCATCCCCTTTCCCTCTCCTCCTTCCCTCCATATCTTGATCATCTTCCTATCTGAGAAAAATCCATCTCCTACTGGCTACCATTGACTCTTCTACTTTACTTTGTGTGAGAGCTTGGATACCTTACTCCTTTTAAGACTAACATACTTCTTTCAAAGCAAAGATTGATACCTAAATCAAAAGATCATTTTTAGAATTTTAAAAAAATATTTCTAAAAAGAGTTTAGCATAGTAACTAACAAAGAGTAGGGGCTCAATAGAAAGGAATAACTGTAATTCTTCTAAATCGGGTGGGCTAAAGTATGGGACTCCCTCTCTATGCTAACTGGCCCCCATGGGCTGTTTGTTGGAGTTCCATTATCTCTTACAGTTTTCTACTAGTGTAACTTTAAGGCTGTTAGCTTCTATTCTACTGTTGTCGGAGTTATTTGCCTTCAGCAACCTCTTCCTAGTTTTAATTTGCTGCGTGCTGGGGATCACATAACCATAGCTGATAGATGTACTCAGAACTTGGGAGCTACACTGACGTGTCTCCTAGGATTTAGAAAGTGTCTTCCCAGAATTAAACTTCAAAATCAACATGTAATAGGCAGAATCATCTGCCAGATACAATGACTCTCAAGCCAGATAGTTTCTATCGTAACCTGGTCTGACTGCATTAATATTAGCTTCAGTGTTTTAGTGAGAGGAAGTTTGTTCAACAACAAAACACACAAAGCCATGAGTCAGAGGGCCAAGGTGGGGAGTTCCTAAAACCTGTCCAGGGAAACCATAACAAATGGACTCAAGTATCAGATCCCTGTAGCAAGGCCTTAGTAGAAATAGATAGAGGGAACCTGAAGATGTGCACAGGGTAGATGATTCTTATGCTGTGACAATCATCCACATGTTCAGTCAGTATTTATTGGGGAACTACTCTTGTAGCCTAGGTCCCTCCTCCTTCCCTCATTCTTCATCCATCTTCGCTAAGTTCCCTTCTGGTTGTTGGCTTCACAGATCTCCCTAGAGGGAAAGAATGCACCAGTCATGAGATATTCTAAATGACAGGACTATTTCCTGTGGTGAATTACTAAGTGGACATTATGATGTTACATGTCAGTCTCATGAGCGTGGTTAAGGAGAGTTTGGCTATGAGAGATGAATGCACTATCGTGTTTAGATGACAAGTTATCTAAGCCTGAAAAGTTAAGGCTAGGCCATGACCAGGTAAATTCACCCAGCTCAAGTCTCACCTTCAAACTTCTGTGTTGGGATGACACTAAGGGGCTGTGTGGCACAGTGATACAGAACAGATCTAGGGTCAGAAGGACCCGAGACTGAAAGCTGATTTTACCATTTATTCTGGTTTCCCCTAAGCAAATTACAGAACCTCTTCTAAGCCTCTTTTTAAAATTTCATCTATAAAACTAGATAATAATAAAGTACAAGTTTTGTTTTGGCTAAGTATCTAAATACAAGCAACATACCCAAAGAACTGTTAAAAACCGCAACCCAACAGGACACACGTGTAAATACCGAATAGTTTCTCTAGTGTGAGAAACTGAAAGTGTAAATAAGGATGAAAATGATTAAAATAAATAACTGATAATTTGAAATACGAAAAGGTCCAAAGGTGTAGGGGTGGCGGGAGGGGAAGGGGAAAGGGAAGAAGGGAAAGGAAAAATTATGAGAAAGGAAAAAAAAGGAAACAAAGTCTATGTAAATAGGGAAGGGTGAAGGGGGTGAAGGGCACACAGGTAATGGGGGAAGAATAAGAACCAAGACACATCATGTTCAGGTACAAGCACCCAATGATAAATGTAAATGTAATGTATACCTAAAATGTACCAATAAATATATTAAAAAAAAACAAAATCCAACCCAGTTCCACACCCTCCAATCCTGGCTTCACATTCTTTGCCAGGCTTCTCCATCTATGGAAACCTGCAAGTGCTTTTCAACAAGCAGCCCTTGGGCACTGTTGTGCTGCCTCACATCTGAAAATTGTCTTCTTAGCAAATGGAGTTACAGCTCTAAAAGAGCCACTTTTGTCACTGCCCCTCTGGAATAGTTCTATTTACTTTAAGCCAGCTGCTATGACAGCTCCCCACTCCTCAGCCAGCACAAAGACATCATGTTCTTCAAGAATCCGTCAGAGACCAGCTTGTTAATAACAAAACTATTCCAGGTTTTAATGTTCTCTCATCTGTGACATAAACATCCTTTAAGAGACAAATCAGATAGTGTTCAGAGACTGGGCTAGCCATATTTACTGCACTCCAAAGAACAACTCAAGACACAAAGTGGATATTCAAATAGATGGGTTTTTTTGTTGACCCAGTTAAATTTTTATTCAGTGAAAAAAGTTGACAATGAGACAAAAATTATCTTAAAATTGTGCAACAATATAGTAAAATCTTCAGCAGAAATCAGTGACTTGGAAACTTACCAAGGCAATTGAAATTATAAATACCTAATTTCACTCTGGAGAGAAACAAATTTACACTGTTTCACTTTAAATAAGAGCAGAATAGGCCTTTATTTTGCTGCAAATACTTTTGACTTTGCCTAAAAGTTTCTAATAATTCTGAACAAGAATCTTTAAATGAGAAGTGACATGGAATATCTGAGGATAATGTTCCAGTTCAGCATTCATGATTATTCCATTTGTGGTATTACTCATGAAACTAATACCATTCTTGGGTTATTACTTGGCTCTGATGATTTAATTCATAATATGGCTGCTCAAAATTAGTGGGCAGAAACATATATACAACCTGTCCTCCCTTAACCCATGTCCAGCAGTGGTACTCCTTCTGAAAACACACTTCTTGTCCATGTACCCAACAGTATCCATCTCTTGCTGTTTATTCCATATCTCAGTCTTGCATAGAAAGTAGTCTATATAAACTTAATGCACTAGCTTTTATTACACAAAATTGTACCTGAAAGGCAGCACACACCCGTTTAAGAAAAATAACCTAATAGGAATGTCAAAATACAATCCCAATACAAGTGAAAATTCTGCACAGAGTCTTCCAGTCAATTCCTACAATCCCTATGAGGATGGTATTCAGTTTTGTTCTGGGTCTCTTCTCTAAGGGGCCTCCCAACTCTGCTAAAACAACAGAATTCTCAGAAATTCACTATGACTCCCTTGGGGGGAGGCAACCGAACCTGCTGGGGTGGGGTTTGGGTCCTTAAGGGAGGACTGGAGATACAATCTTATAGGATATAGTGACCACCAGGTGAGTGTCTGATGGCAAGACTCTCCAAGGAGGAGTCAGTTCTTATCTATGAGGGGCTCACCATGCTACTGATCTCCCCAACTCCCTGCTGAAAACCTATTGCATAATGTACAGTGAGCATAGCTTCATTTAGTGGGCTGCATGATGGGCAACAGGGAGCCTGCAGCTGTGTTCCCCATCTGTCCCACAAATACCCTTAGTGAAATCTCCACAGATGGAACACCAGGAATCCCTCTTTTGAAAGTCAGAAGTTCCAACCAGGTACCCAGTGGTACAACTACTTACCCAGGTTGCCAGGGGTACCAGTGGTTACTGGAACTGCTTATCTGTCTGGAAACAGGTCTGCTCAGATGTGGTTCCTTTTGAGAGGGACTCTACTCTGTCATTTCATCCACATGGACCCATGTCTCACAAAGTTCAAGGGTGTTCGACATGGAAAGGAGCGAAATCAGCTTTGGGAAAGAACCCCTATACAGTCCCCCTGCCCACCAAATTTTAGTGGCCCCATGGTGGTCTACAGAGATGTAGGCATCTTGTCAGACATACTCTGGGACAGAATAAACCTCTGCCTGTACAGTGGGAACTTTCAAGGTGGCACCTACACGGTGCAAAAGCCCCTTCTCTACAAGCACTCAGGGGATCCAAGTGATCACAATGAAGAGTTATCCAGTCACCTTCAAAGACATCACACAGTATTTGTTTTTACTTCCTATTGTCACTCCAGCCTCTGGACTCTTGAAGATGGCATAGGAACATTAAAACTACCACAAAACTGTTTAGAGGGAAACAGGGGTACGTGCTTCAGAAGTTCATAAAAATATACAATTTACACATAACTGCATCTATCTAGCTTAGTCTTCAGGACCACAGCTTTTCTGTTTATATAAAATACTCTAGCCCTAAAAGGTTGCTTGTTTTCAAACAGCACAGTGGCATCTTCAGAGGAGGGGTGATGGCCAGTCTGTACAGTACTGTGCACTGAGCACCAGGAGGCACTGGAAGCTAGAACTGGAGGCTCGAAAGCATCTCACACTGCCAACTGGAGGTACATGTTCTGTAAAAAGGCTTGCCTGTGGCTTAATTGGAAATAACGTCTCAGAGCCTTTATATCAGCTTTTACAGATGCCACCAAAAAGTTGGCAGAAGAAGAAAATATACTTTCTCACTGTTCAATTAAACGACTTGCCTCCCACCAGATTGTTAATCTTATAGCTCCTTAAAGAGTTTATTAAAGCGGAGGTGGTAGGGCATGGAGTTTTGAACAAAACTCCAAGGCAAGATAAAAGCAAAATAAATTCCAATCTGAAGAAAGAAAAGAAAAAGAAAGAGGAAAGAAGAGAAAGCCAGAACAAAGATCATCATTCTCACCATTTGGTAACATGAACTCCAGCCCTACTCATGTGATGTACTAAATGTCTACAGGTCAAATTACTGCTCATCTAAAATATGTATGTATAAATAAAAATTTCAAAAATAAAAAATTTGATTGGTTCCTTATTTTCTAAACAATCCCTAGGTAGAAGAAAACTATATTACCACCCAAGAATGATATTTTTGGTGAAGAAAAAAACAAACATTTGTGAGAAGGTGACACGCTATGTGGAGGGGAGACGGAGCTTTACAAGGCTTGCATATATAAAGGAAACATATTGAAGGCATGACTTTGGAATATTCCCAGAGCTCACTGCATCTCAGCTGGGAGGAAACTCTCCACTGAGGATGTTCATACAGTACAAATGACAATAATGCTAGACATCGGTGCCTACAATACTAAGTCTAAAGGACAGGCATCAGTCCACAATAGATTCCACACAACTTTCAAGTGACCACGATTTGAACACAGGGGCGGCATTGTAATGGCAGAAGGAAAAAAAGCACAGGTTGTTTTATAGAGAATAAATAAACTCCAGTGCCGCTGCTGCTAGTGTGGACTGAAAGGAATGGCCAAATGCTTAGATGCCCTCTATCTCTGTAAGTGTGTATAGCATTCTCTCTGTAGATTGGGTGGGGGCATGGCTGAGGGAGGTGGAAGAAAAGCAAAAGAGAGAGAAAAGGCACTGACCCAATTCAAAATGACTGCATATATCAGTGTGAATTTTTAAGGAAAATTCAGTGGCCACCTTGACCCAAATATAAAATTTTACATTTGAGGTTCTTTGGTGGTAGTAAAAACAAACAAAAATTTCAAATGGAGTAATTACATACTATATTTGCCAGTGTATCCTATCATGGCACAGATCTAGAACTCTCCTACATACAACCAGAATAACCTTTCACAATGACAATGATTCCAGTGTATAAGAAAGCATTGTTAGCATTTGGTAGCTTTAAAAGCTACCAAAGAGGCATTTACAGTAAGATCCAATCAATCAATCAATCAATATTAAGAGGAAGTTGTGGCTTGCAGGACTTCCCAAATTGTAGCTCTGTTTGACTGAAATCTAGCCATGACTCAGAGCTTTCTTCTGCCAAAGACTGCTACTTGACACAAAGTAAATAAAATGGACTGCTTTTGGAATGGCAACAAAATATTTCTGTTCCTCATTCCCCAACCCTATAGGTCTGGGGATCACAAAATACATGATGTCAGATGACCACAAACGGCTGGCCTATACAAAGTCCCAATAAATTAACAAAAGACCATGAAAGAACCTTTCCCCAAACATTTTCATGTAAACTAAATCCAAGCAAAATTTCAAATTTGAACACACTTTCAAGGAGAAGGGATTCCACCCATCACTCTCTCTTGAAGTCTTTATTAAATACATTTCTATGTCTTAGAAAAATAAAAAGAATGGCCAATTTATTGAACCAAAATTATCTCACAGACTTAAAAGCATGCCCAGCAAGCACAGCCCTGTAAGACTACATTAACATCAAATCAAAGCAATTTGGTTACTAAAATCAACCCGGTTTGAAGTTCACAGTTGATTACTACAAAGTTTATTCATTCTTTTCTTTCTTTTTTTGTTTCTTTTTGTTTTGTTTTTTGTCTTTGGCCCATATAAAAATAACATATTGCAACTCAAAGTGCATCTTTTAAAATAAACCATCAACTATCTTTAGCAAATAAAATATTTACACCATTTGGTTTCTAGTGAGGAAAGCTCTTTCAGGCTATCACCATGGGGACATCATCTGAAAATCCAGTTATCATAGGAGCATCTTCATCATCTTCCCCTACAAACAAAAAGACATGCCTTCCTGAGTTCCAGCACCTCTCCTCCTCATCCCAGTCCCAAGCTCTACCCATCTCCCATCCCCATCACAACTCTCACCTAATCTTTACCACAATCAGCCGGGCACAGTAATCGGTCCTGAAGTCAGTTCAGTTTCCTCTACCATTTTTGGGTCACCTCTTGTCATCAGCAGATGACCAAACTTATTTTAAAGGTAGCTTAAACTTAGCTAAATCAAGCAAATAAAACTTGCAAGAAGGGGCCAGGGATTTAGCTCAGTGGTGACGCCACCTGCCTCGCAAGTGCAAGGTCCCGAGTTTGATCCCCGGTAACAAAAAAAAAAAAAAAAACTTGCAAGAAGAAGAATCTTATTACCTACCCGAAAATCAAATGGATGGTTAGGGTCCCCCAATTTGAGTTATCTGCATCCTACATTAGTGCAGCAAACTTCACTGTTTTCCTTCTCTTTTGAATTTGAACTTAAACTGCTTTGAGGAAAAAGATCTTGAAGGGGCTTAAGAATTTGGGGGACATCTTTCAAGACTAATAGCTGTCCCTTTGAGACCCTTGTATAATCCTGTAGAACTGCTGATCTGCATTCAGTGATCACTGCACAGTGCTGCAACAGGTCAACTCTTTTGTCCCCAACACCATGACATCCCATTCATGAAAGGCAATCCAGGTACTTGGTGATTAAATAAGAAAAGAAACTAAGAAGAAAAAGGAGTGGGGCTAATATCACATGGTCAGTGAGGGGGTATACATAAATGTCTTCATAAACAAGGGAAAATAATTATAACTAGTTCAAAGGAAAAGTAAACAACCAAACTCACATTCAGCAGTTTTGAGTTCAGGGAAGCCTTTAACACACCCACTTCATTATATTATGTAGTCTACTAGCTCTCTTAGTGTTTAGAAATTTCAATGTGCAAAGATTTTAAAAGGCATAAAATTTATTTTTCCCACACTATGTGTTATCAACACATAAAATAAGGTTGGCTGGTGAGACTGCGCTAACAATAGGAAAGAGAAACAGCCAGATGGAAGGGCTTCTTTTCATAGAAGCCGATGAAGGTGGCATTATTTTTTATCTTGACTAGGATCTCTGGGGATGTCAGACCTCCAGGTCTCTGAAAGATGAGACAGTGGTCAGGTGAACGTTGCTGAGGATTTTCTGTTACTCTGGAAGTCTCCAAAAACTCAGGGCCTATCTATCTTGCCCGTATGAGACAAGCTCCTAGAAGGTCTTCCCTGACCAAAACCACACTACTGAAGTAAATGTCATATTTTAATTTAGGAGCAAATTAAAAGCCAAGAGTTCCAGCTGGTTTCTTCATATGTGGGGGATTCACTAGTTAATGAATATCTTCTCTCGTGTCAAAAGCTAAGCAAAAGCCAAGTCTTTCCTAACCAGCTCATTGATTTGGGGCGGCGGGGGGCGGGGGGGGGGTCCGCCCTGAAAGGAAGAGCCAGCTTCCCCTGCCCACTTACCCAGGTCATCCCCTGAGGAGAAGATGGCTGAGCCCAGCCTGGAGTTGTAGTGGCTGTTGGCAAAAGCAGTGAAGCTGCTCTGCAGTCTCCGGTGCTTGGTGTACAGGATGGCAAACCCGACTCCCAGGCTCAGCAGTATCAGGAACAAGATAGGAACTACCACTGCAGCGACATCAGTGGACCTGGAAGCCTGTACTGCTGCCATGTCTCCACCTGTTGAGGCAAGATCCCCACCAGTAAGCCTCCTACCTGAGGGCAGGAGAGTGGACCAGGCAATCCGCAAGGCCCCACCCATCAAAAAAGCTAGGGGTTCAAAACAGCTCCCCAAACTGCATGATGCCTGAATGTTTCCTGACTACTTACTATGAGCTAACAGACCATAGGCCTTGTGCATGCAAATACGGTAATTACATTAGACTCCTAATCACTGCCTTGTTGGTTATTTAGATAATCTCTTGGAAGGAAGACCTTTGTTGGGGTATCAACATTGATTTCATTAGCATTATTACTTAAGACCACTTGCTTGCATTACATAAGAGGATGTGAAATCAGACCACTAATTAACGAGATTGCAATTATTTCCCCCTACTTGGCACCAAAGTCACTCTGAACTGCAATTACCTGAAGCTCCATTAAGTGATACAAATGAGATTCCTTTACTACAATACTGACTTAACAGCTCATGAAGTTTTATGAGGTTTTTTACTTGAGTAAAAAAAAGAGAAGCAACCTTTCCATATACATTTAACATTTTTTAAAGTTCTCTGAAAAGCAATTTAGGTGTTTAAAACCTAACAAAGACCCTGCCTTCCCGTGGTCTTAAACAAATTCAGGCCTTGTGATGCTTTACTAATTTCTACCCTTGACACTCAAGTCAAAGCCATCCCCCACCTTGTACCATGTTGGGACAGGGGCTAGACTTTTCATATTCAAAATCCTGAGGCAAATCTGGACTTCAGGAAGAAAAATGGAACATAGGAGTCAGGTTTTAGCAAAAGCAGCAGTGTGGGCTTTCCTCTGTCTAGGTCTCCACAGGCTTGGGCCTCTTCCCTGGTGGAGGAGGAGGTCGCAGGGGCCGGGTAGCACAAGCAAAGTTTTTCCCTTGTGCAGAAAGCACGACAGCTACCCAGGGATTCATCCTAATGGGGTACTCACAAACATGGGCCAGTTCTTGTAACCTTAATCTAGCAATTCAATACTCATATCTGTTTTTACATTTATTTCATCATTTCCTGGCCAGAAAAATTCTGGCAAAATTTTATTTAATGGGCCCACCCTATCCCAAGTGCACAGCAATAAATGAAAGCAAAGTGTGCATTTGGCTAGAGCATGGTGGAGGCAATGGGAGTAAGTGAGTTCCCAACAAACTTGGTTTCCTAAAGGTAGCTGATAGGGATCCTCACAACAGGTTTGCCCTTAAGTATATTTCACAGGTTGCTGACTGGTTTTGCTTAAAACACAGTGCTATGAAGGAACCACTTACAGGTTAATAAGAGTTGTGCTTTTTGGTTTTTTGGACCTTTTTGGAGGCTCAGTATGATTCTCCAAAGGGAAGCGGAAGACAATGTTTCCCTCTTTTGGGAGGATGAATATTCTGCAAGATCACACCCCAGGAAGCATTATGTGACAGAACATTTAACAACTCTAATATAAGATTTTGGCTTGAGCCTTTCTGACTGGGACTAAATGTAATTAACAAAACTAGTGGTAAAACATTTGTGGACACTCTGGCCAAGGTACTACAACAACATAAGCAGACTTTCTACGTAAACCACTAGTGTGGCCCAACACTGATACCTAGGACTGTCCTAAGACAAGGATCTCAGGCCAAATTCAGGTCCTGATCTGAGGCTGACAGCTAAGTTGATGGGAAGGGTTATACAGTCAGCTACTCCATGGTGAGGAGACATGCTACTGACTTGGAGAATCACAGGGGTTCTGAAAAGTCCTATAAAAGCAAACAACAAAACTCTTGTTAACCTAGCATTTCTCATATAGAACCTTTTTAAACAGAACCTTTCCTTTCTTGCACTTTATATTCAGAATATGGTCACCTTGTAAGCTTACATCATGCCTGATTCTGGAAGTATTTATTTGTTGACAAAATTAGTACCTGATGAAACTGATACATAAGTGCTTTTCTTCTGAGCTGAGAGCAGATTTTAAATGTGTTTTAGAAAGACACATGTTCATCAGACCATACTACATCCCTGATATTTCCCCAGATGGAAGACTGAAGCTGGCAGCCACAGTGACTTACTAGACCCCAGCTCATCATACAGCAGGACAGCAGGTTCCCCACAGATCTGGCTGCCAAAAAGGCATCGTGCCTGGACGGTGAAAGTGTAGTTATGGCCCATCTTCAGGTTGGAAATTTTAAAGAAATTGTCAGTAGTATTCCCAAGGTATGCTGTGATATTCATGGCACTATCAAACATGTGTATCTCGTAGCCCTGAAACAAATACATAGGAGATTACTCAGTAAGTCTCCTACTGGTTCCAACCATATGTGAACCTCTTACTGCAGGCTTCTATAGAGGCTAAAGCACTTTGGGTTTCTCACTAATTCTTTTTAACATGAGCACTAAAGTACTGGATTCAGATTTAGAAAAGAGGAATTTTTCTCAACCCAGTGTCTCAAAACTATCTCACCTACTTAAGAGCTGTAGTGTGGAAGTAAAAGTGTAGTCTCAGGGAAAGCCACTTCAACAAATACAGTTGAAAGTCTCGTTCCACTATCCCTCCTCTCAAGCATTATTAAATGCTGCAAAGAACCTGACCACCTCAGCAACCGCTTGCAGTGTAGAATTTGACTAATAATAAATCCTGGCCATGGTGGCCTCCAGCAGTGGGTTAAGATGATGGAACTTGCAATCAGAAAAGATAGCAAGTTTCTCCTTAGAAGAGTATGTAAGATGGCTACTGTCACCTTGCTTCCTGTCTCCTTGCTTTCTAGCTTTTCCGAAGCTGATCCCAACCCTGAACATCCTGGCCTTGACGCAAGAAGCACTTTAAGAGGTTCGGGGACCTATTCACCACAGGACAGGATGAAATAATATTCCCAGGCTCAGAGAGAGTCCTGGACTCCTGTGTTGGAAAAAAGTCACTTTGTGAGAGCCCTGACCCAGGCTGCTGGCTGGGATTAGGCTGACCAGTGGACTTCCTTGCTGACCTCCAAGCATTCTAGTGTCAAAGCTACCAACACTCAGTTCAGATCACAGGCCCCGCATAAAGACTGCACTTGTCTCTATCCATACTGGGCTCACTGCATAAGCATGGTCTCTTGATGCCCATGCCACTGGCCTCTCTATTTTTTGAACCCCAAGCCAGGTGGGAAGAAGAGCATGCTGTGTCTATGCTAGAACCCTCCACTAGAATGGAATGCTGACCCATAACCCCTACCTAAAAGCTGGGCTTCCAGCACCTTAGAAGGATCCCCTAATGGCAACTAGCTGCTAGACTGGGCTTCTCAATGCCTGCCTGGCATCCCACTCCTGTATTTTGCTGTTTGCAAACTAGCAATTATTATTTACTATCTAATAGATATTCAGCATAGAACATTTTCAAAATACATAAAAATATAAAGATGCTAAATTAAATTATATACCCAAACATCAACCACCTATATTTCAATATTTCTCCCCTGTTGTGCATCTAGAGTGTTTCTTTTTTATTGTCATAATTAGTGTATAAGAATCTTGTATGTGCATTGTTTCTTTAGAGTAAAATCCTAGAATTGCTGAATCAAGAAGTATAAACATGTTTAAGGCTTCTGATATATATTACCACAGAGCCTCCCCAAAGGTTGAGCCAATTTATATTCTAAGAGAGCGAAGGTCCTCAGTTATTGCTCACACTGGTAATAGTCCTCCCACAGATCTTTGCCAAGGAAATGCACAAGTGCCACATCTTTGCTGTTTGGGTTCCTAAAGAGGTTGAACCTTTCCCCTTCAGCTTACTACTGCTGGATTTTTCTTTTTTACTTTGCTACTTATATGTTTTTCAAAATTAGAATACTTATGCTTTGAATTGACTTGATAGCATTCTTCATATTTAAGGATATTAACAACTTAGATGTCACAGTTGTGAAAGTTGTGTGAATTCTCTTGAGTGGTATGGTTTTTCAAATTTGAAATGAGCTTTGCTTCCTGCATTACCCTGTGTCTGTGGAGGACCCTGGGGGCTCTTTGCCATGGAGCCACAATAGAGTCATCGTGTCCTAACTGAGCTCATGCTCTGTTGTCAATGGGACAAACCCAGTTCCATTCAAGAATGGATCCGCCACTGGGTAGCAAATCTTCCAGATCTTGCTCTCCCTTCCCCAGCTCCCTTGTGAATATAGTATTGGCCTACAATACCAAAATGACACAAAACAAAGGTGATCATTAGGCAGCAGGCAATCTTCAAGTTCTCCTCCTCTCTCTAGGAGTTCCTCTGGGAAGGAAGGGATGAGGTGCCAGGATGAGAGTACAGCTCAGTTCCTGGCAGTGTGGGCTGTTAGAGGGTCTGGGGAAGGTGGGCTCTTGGTTTGGATGCTCAGCACCTATCCAGCTCCAAGAAGCACAGGAGTATCCCGGCCCATGTCCCTTTTCTGCTAGGGAAGAAAGTGCAGGACTTAAAAGTGCTTAATGCAGAGATTCTCATCTTTAATGGGCAGTATAAATATTTCACTAATTAGCAATCTCACAGAAAACAGTTCTTTAATTCTCAAGTTCACTTCCATGCCTTACTCTTTCTTTTATTTTTTTCTACACCATCTATGCCAGAATGCTATTAATGAGCTCATCTCTGAAAAAGCATTTTGATTAGATTTCCAGAGTCACTGACAATGGAGGAACTTACTCTGCTTTCATTGAAATGTTTTTCCTTTAAAGCAAGACTTTTCCAAAAAAGAAGAACATGGTCATTTTCTGTTATGATTTTTAAGGCATCAGGTGCTGATAATGAAACTGGAAATCAAAGATAAGACAGGATGCAGTTAGTGGATATACATCTGAAGAAATAAAACAGACTGCTTAGGATGAAATCTAGCACATAGCAGATATTCTTTGATTGGCATCCATTTGTGGTTTTATAACAACTTTGGCCAAGATATTTGGACAGTATCTAACTCAATAATAGCCCTTATGCCCAAGAATGGACAAAAATAGATGAAGCAAAAGAGGTGACAAGAAAGGAATTGGATAGAATGAGAAGTCTGCTTGAACCAAGGACACTGGAATAATACCAAAGTATGACCCAGGTCTACTGCTCACACTACCAGCCTAAAGAGGGCTGAAACTCCTCACACTGTCTGATGCTGTCCAAGTAACTGAGCTTCTTACTCACTTTGTGAACTTGACATTGACTACCCTTTAATCTATGGCCCAATTATTAGTCTCCCTCCATTTCTACATGTCAGATTGCAACAGTGAACCTGTGTGCCTTGGTCCAGGCCTTCTGATGCAATGCTTCATCTTGGTGGTAAATATCTCTTATATTTTCTAACTCTTGGGAAGTCCTCCTCTTCTCCTCCTAGCGATGTCAAAACATCGGAGAAAAAGTAATAAAGAGAGCCACTGCCCAGCCCACTGTGCCTTGGCCACCTTACTGCAGCCTGAATATGGGAGCCCCACTCCCTGCACTGCTCTGTTGTGGCATGTAAACTCAAGGGCAGCGTTGGCATATATGGGCAACTCCTGATGCAAAATCGCTGTCAAGAGATCTAACAGCACTGTGGATGCTTAGCTGTATAAGACGGGCTCTGTGCTCTCCCTTGCTCACCTGTAGTAATTTTTATGCTGGAATCTTTGCTCATGTTCCCCAGTTGGACAATTATATGGTATTTCCCTCCAGGCTCCAACTTGCCGATGGTATACTCCACAGTACTGTTTTGGGATTTTACTTTGTAGCTCCTGTCGGTCTTTCTAATCAGATCTTTAACTGCAATTGCATAGAACTAAGACCAAAAAATAAAAAAGAATATCTGAGTGGTTATCAGAAACTTGCTATTCTTTACCCTTCATAGTTCAAAGGCAGACAATGTAACACAAATATAGTCATGCCTCTTTATCTACAAGAGACTGATTCCAGAAGCCCTGTGGATACCCTTATATAAAATGGTGTAGTAGTAGCAGATAATCTGCACATATCATGTTGCATACTTTAATCATCATTAGATTAAAGATAATAGCTAATACAATGTAAATGCTATGTACTAGTTGTAATATTATATTGCTTAGGGAATAATGACAAGAAAAATATCTGTACATGTCAGTATAGACACAATTTCTTCTTTCAAATATTTTCAATCTGCAATTGATTGAATCTGCAGATACAAAGGGCCAACTATATGAAACACTGAACCACAATATTCAACAATATTCCAAAATCTGATTCTGTTCTTTGGATTGGACAGGACCAGCCTTATAATAAGTATGCACTGAGAGAATTGTGCATAGAATTATCAACTAGATGCAAAAAGAACAAAAAACTCTAGGGTAAGCCACCTTTAGTGTGGTATCAGTAGCTAGGTTGGAACACGGAATAATATACAAATCTAGTACTCAACTTCTGTATCACCACCCCTGCAACAGTTTACAGATATTGTCAGTGGAGAGACAATGAACAAAAGTATTCAATTCTAGCTCTAAAGGACAAATGCTCTACTGAATGTCTCTAGGGTGCTTCTTACATAGTATGTGTGTGGGTAATATACAGGCACATGTAATAAGCACAGGAAACCTGATTGTCAGGAAGAAGTTTAGAGTTAAGAGGAGACTTTATAACCAAGCATTTTAAAGCAAGCATCCATAGGATGACGGGGAGAAGAGAGGGAGCAGAGGTAAAAGTAGTCCAGAGTAAAGAAAACTGAAAGCTATTTTTCCAAGATCAATGTCTCTTCTTTTACCAGGGACCAGCAAACATTCTGAAAAAAGGTTCAGCTAGTAAGTATTTTAGGCTTCAATGGCCATATGGTCCCCACCACAACTATTTAACTCTGTTGTTTGTAGCATGGAAGCAGACACAGGTCATATGTAAAAAAATGGGCATGACTTGGTTCCAATAAAATTTTATTTAAAAAAAAGATGGGCCAGATTTGGCCTACAGGCCTTTTTTGATGACCTCTGTTTCAGAGGGTTAAGGTGTGGGATGTGAGCATCAAATCAGGAAGGACAATCAAATGTGACAGCTGGAAGTAACAAAAGAGTATCACCTAAAACAAGGTACCTATAAAGATCATATATTTGCCGAGAAAGAAATGGGAGAGACCTGCTGAACGGAACCATTAGGCCTGTGTTTCCTACTCCCTTACTGAACACCTTCCACACTGTACCACCCAACACATGCTAAGAATAAGTAAAGCCGCCTGGATGTCTAGCCTGCTCACCAGGTCCTGGTCAGGAGAGTCGTATGGGGATTCCCACTTGATGATGGCTGAGGTTTTGCCTGTATGAACTGCATGCAGGTGACGGGGTGGAAGCCTGCTGTCTGGGATCATCTTCACAACAACGTAGTCAGAGGACGGCCCTTGGTAAGGAACCAACACCCGCACCTAGGGTCCAAGAACATGCACAGGGGGAAAAAAACCACAGAGTTTCACACAATCTTCACCAAATACTTTTTCAACAAAATAATTGTTGAAAATTGTATATGTGACTCACATATGCAATTAAAGTTCAATTAGTACCAAAGATATAAAATACTTCCCTCCATCTCAGATCACTGCTAATAGTTCTTTGCACTTCCTTCTAGAAATGTCCTATGCAGAGGCTGAGGATATAGCTTATTATTATAACTCATATTACCTTACATGTGCAATGCTCTGGGTTCAATCCCCAGTGCTGTCAAAAGAAGCCCCAAAATGTCCAAGGCACATATGAGCACAGATATGTCTATGGATATAAATTCACACTAATGCATGCCAGAGCATATACACATATGTGTAACCTATCTTTCAATTTTACACAATCAAGAAAACACTACACATATTATGCTCTTCACTTCTTATACTTAGTAATACAGTTTAAAGATTTTTGCACTTCAGTACATGCAAAGTAGTATTTCTTTTGGATGGCTGCCCTGTATTCCATTTCATGAACACATCATAATATTTTTTTTTACGCCATAATATTGTAATCACTTCTTTCTTGAGAGGCATTTAAGTTATTTCAAATCTTTTGCAATTATAAGTAATAATGGATCACACATCTTTTTCCATGTATCTTGGCACACATGTAAAAATAAATAGTGGAATATGACAAACACTTTTTAAAAATTTTTATTTTATTGGTACATTTTAGGTATACAATATAATTACATTCATCATTGGAAATTTACACCTTTGATTTATCTGTATCTACCACCAATCCTCCATGGTGGACTGTAGTTAACTAAGTGGTTGTGATGCTTATGACAAAAAAGAAATTTCTTCCCATTACACACACTGATCCTGGAATTCAGGTGTCCTGATTGAGCTCAGGAGCCCAAGACTTAAGACAGCCCTTAAAAAACAGAAACTCATCCTGCCTTGCTGCTACAGAAACTTACCAGAAACAAATACTGCTCATCTTTACCAACAATGACTGTCTTATTGTGGAGTGAAGTGGTCACACTCTTTGGGCTTCGATAGAGATCAAGAAAGGATGTGGCATAGAAAATACCATAAACCTGGTAAAAGAAAAGAATGGAAAAGGATATCATTTCATAGTCCAGTGACCTCATTTGCTTGAAATCCCTAATTTAAGTGAATGCTGCTGCCAGATGCCATCCAATGGAACCTTAGTTTCTTAAAAACATTACAGTGTGTCTTCATCCACTTTATTCACCAGATCTACCACCATGCAATTTCTGGCTCTTCCTCAAAGTCAAAATGACCTTGAAAAATAAATGTTTTCAATGGATTCAGGACATCAAGGCAGTCACTACAGTGCAACTAAAGGCATTCATGAAAAGAGGACTTTAAGAACTGTTTCAGGAAGTGGCAAGAATGCCAGGCCTGACACGTCAGGTGCTTCTAGAAAGTCATTCAGAACTGACAAGAGAGGGTGGCTTGTGTTTGGGGTGAGAAAGGAAGACACAGCAGCAGAAAACAAAGCCCTGTAGGTGTCCAGTGGCTCAGTTTTGAGGTGTGAGGGGTTGGGTCCATATTCACTCTGGAACGGTCATTCTGACCTACTCACCACATTCCTGGGGCCAGTCCAGGTACATTCCACTGCAGTCTGGTTGATAGCCTTGGCTTTGAGGCTAGGAGCTGGTGGGCAAACTCCTCTGGTCATGACATGCTCAAATGCCAGAGGACTGTCCCCCAAGTCAGTCTTGGCCCAGACAGAAATCTCATAGGACGTATGAGCTGTCAGATTGTCAACTGTGAAAACAAGGATAAAGGGCACCAGGAGGAAGTTGGGAGTATTGATCAATAATTTGTATCACTATGGTCACCCTATCTAAAAAAAAGTAATCACTCAATCTGAGTCCTAAATGCCATAGGACTTCATCAATTTACAAGTTTGTTTAACATTTATTTACTGATGACTGATACATGCAGCACATCTCCGGGGCACTGGGTAATTTCTCTTAAAGCTGACCATCTCAGGATAAAACCCATCCAATCCTCATGGATAGCCATTTTGCCTTGTGTTGTAAGAGCCTTGAAAAAAAATCACACCCTTCTGCCCAGCTATCCCATGAAATCAGAAGGACTCAAAAATCTGTGGACAAAGATATGCATCTCAGAGTCTGTTGCAGTAGAACACTGTTATAATCTGGCTGTCTGGCAACAGGATGATAATTGAATCATGTAAGTTCCATCAACTACTATCCAGCCACTAAAACTTGCTCCAAAGAATATTTAGTGACACGGGAAAATTCTTCAATTTTATAATAAGTGAAAAGGCAAGATACAAAACTATACATAGTATTTTGATTTTATTTATAAAAATATATAAGATTAATCCATAGAAAAATATATGGGAGACATCTGAAATGCAAAAGTAAAATTATAGAAAACTTTAATATTCTCAATACTTTCTGTCTTCTAAACTTTCTGAAATAAGCATGTATTCCTTTTCTAACTAAGGGATTAAAACTAAAAGAAGTATGAACAGAATAGAGGACATGTTAAAGGACAACCTTAGGAATCAGCAGGATTGTGGGAGGATCTCAAGGCCTGTGCTTTGTGATTGTATATGCTTGGTGAAGTATTTAAATGCTCTGTTTCCTTGTTTGTAAGATGGAGAAAAATAACAGCACTTACAGCAGCTGGCTGTTGCAAGGATTAAAAAAGAAACTGCTTGTAAAGTGCCTGGCATAATGCGGAGCACTAAGCTGGCCCTTCATGCACCTCAAGCAACAGCTAGTACAACTTTGCCAGTTCTACTAGTGCGGCAGTGAGGCAATGGGATCACAGGTTTGTAAATGGAAGCCATGGTTCCAATCGTGGCTCTGCTACCTTCAGAGGAAACTGTCTATTCTCCAAACCTGGGTTTTGCCTCTAGAGGATAAGCAGACCTCATGGAATTACAGTATTATTGGAACTATGTAGAACAATAATACCAACAACTCAGAATTTTTAGGTAAATGACAATCACAGCAGATGTTCAATGTTATTTCTCCCTTGCATGACCTCAAAAGGAAAATTACTGAACCTAGACCTTCACTTTCAAAATAATAATAATAATAATAATAATAATATAATAACAATAACAAAAGATTTGTAGATTCTATTTCACAAGGAACAAATGGAAATACTTTGCAAACAGGCTAGAAGAAGGGGAAAGGAGGAAGCTCCCGTGTCATTCTCAACTTTCAGAGGCAGCTTTGGGGATTGAAAGTTTTGTCTTAGAAATAAATTTAAATTTTTCCATTATCCCACTTTCAGACAATCTGAGGCTCTTTTCTTGCACAGATGAAAGAGAGATTGGACCTCTTCCTTCTTCATTCGCTTGGTCCATTCATTCCATCAATACTTTCCAAAGACCAACCGCGTACCAGGCTTTGTGCTACTTAGCACAGGGAAGTGAACCAGGCTAGAAAAAAACCATGACTAAATTGAGGAACTCCTTCTTGTGAATCACAAAAATCATCTGGAAGAGTTAACTTGGCCTCTTTCCAGTTCTTCCTCCTCTGTAACCTCCAACTTCCATGAAGGTAGGAGGGGATTTCCAGAGACAGCAAGTGAAGGTTTTCCTACCAAGCCAGGAGGACATTTATAGTGTCCTCAATGGACAAGAATCTGTCTGCCTCCAGAGAAGACCCTCTCTCTCCCAGACACCAGAAAACAAGCTCTGCTGCCAGGAGAGCACTGATCCAGCCTTACGCCTTTCCCCTCACACTGACTACCCTCAAGGTGTTACCTTTGTGTGACAATGTGCTCCCTCGGAAGCTCAAGGTTCTCTTTTCTTGTTTGTGGGTGTCAAATGCCCAGAACAGGTTCACTACATAGCCATTCACCTACCAAGAACCAGGAAGCACATGATAGAACAGTTAACACAGTCAGAGGGCATGCCAAATACAACAAGCAGGATTAAGAGTACATCTCTTTTCTGTTTCTTTAGGTATCATAGTTCTTACAATGGACAGGTAGTTTCTTCTGATTTTTAAACAAGTTCTATTCATGCTATAATTAATAACATTTAGCTAAGGGCCAGGGATGTTGCTCAATGGTAGAGCACTTTAGCATGTGTGAGGCCCTGGGTTTGAGCCCTAGTACCACAAATAGGAATAATATTTAGTTATATTTTATGTTCTAAAAATAAACATGAGATCACTTATAATATAAAATATATTCAAGGAAACCAGAAAGTTAATGCAGCCTAAAATGACAAGAACCAAGTAGTAAAGGTAGAAACAGGAAAAACTGAAAAGATAATTAGGCCATGGTAATTAAGGGTCAATCTCAGCTCAGGCTGTCCTTGCAGTCAAGGCCAAGAGACCAGTAACAATGTGGGTTGGTGAAATCTCACCATCTAACATGGGTAAATATATCCATGCACCAGAAAGTCAGTCTTCATTAAGTCCTGATCTCCTGGAAGAGTCTGATCTAAAGATCTTTAAATACAGGACAAAAAAAAATGTTTTCAAGACCAAAGACAAAGACCACATGAAGGCATCTCTTGTAACAGCCCTCAGTGAAGCCAAGGAAATGATATTAAATTGTAGTTAAGTAGATGGTACAGGGATTCCAAAGGCTTCTTGCTCCACCACAATCCCATAGATAGAGAGCAGGAGCAAAAAGACAAGAAAGAACATTATAGAAAGTGGATCTCAGCTGAGACACCCCAGGGAAACATAACTATGGTGGAGTCCATGTGTAGATGGACCAAGCCCAATAGCCAGTGGCAGTGGAAAGAGTTGAGAGCTTTGCAGAGATACAAGATGGATGTCTTTCCTAGACATCGACTCTCACAAGAGGGTTGCTCTTCCACTGTGAGAACCTCTGCATTAGCACTTAGTACCAGGAAATCCAATAAAGCTGAAAATTACAGGGCATACATATTCTGTTAACACCAACTCTTTATTTGCACTGTAGCTGTGAACCATTTAATTATATGGTTAAAGAAAAAAGGCACCAGGCTGAGGCAGAGTAATTACATGTAGAGACTCAAGTTGTTCTTCATGGGGGAAGGAACAAACCTAGTTCTGATATTTTAGCTTCTCTAGATCAAGTCATTCAATTTTTTTCTAATCTTACTATACTGAGGCCTATGGATTTCCACATAAAACAAAGCCCCACCTAAATGCCAGTTGGAAATCACCACATTACCTTGATATCACCATCCATCGTCAGGGTGAAGCTTAGAGAATTTTCATCATAGCTGTCAATGTGGATATCTGGTGGTGGAATCACTAAAAACAAATAAGGAATTCAAACAGAGAAACCACAGGATAAAAAGTGAGGAAGGCAAGACTTTACAGATTTCAACTTAATAGACAAAGCCATCTTTCAGCTGGGGAAGAAAAGGCATTTCTTTGGCTGTCGTTAATGTCTATCTCTTTTACCGCTGTTTTCCTGCAGCTTGCTTGGCGAACACAGAGCAATCCTGGCTCAGTCAGCCAGCCTGGCAATTAGGTCAGGCAGAAAAGCTTCATTATGTAAATGGCCCCAAATAACCCAGCTCCAGTGGTTCTCAAAAGCACAGAGATCCCTGGAAACATCCTCTTTATTGCCACTAACGAAGTCCCAGTGGTCTCAAGACCTTTTGATAGGATGACAACAGGATGAATCATAAATTATAAATGTATGTGTGGCATAATTGGGAAAGCACAGCCTCTGGAGTCAGGCAAACTTGAGTTCAAATTCCTGTCACTTAACAGCTGTGTAACCTGGGGCAACTTACTTATCTTCATTGAGCATTCTAAAGATATGTATCTCTTCACTTCACAGAGCTAGGAAGACAAACTAAAATAATGTATGTACAGTGCCTAGAATTCAACTAATGTTTCCCTTTTTTCCATTTCCATAAAAGCCTAATTTATAACAGATTCAAGACCAGGTAAGCAACCAATGCTCTCCAAAAGATCAGAGCTCAAGCTGAGAGTCAATGGGGGGCAAGGAGAATGTGGCTAAAAGAAGAAACTGCTCTCAGCTCATGCTTGTTATTTGAAGTTCTACCCACAAGAAAGCTGGTAGTACACAGCCTAGCATAACCGAAATGGGTTCTGTGGGACAAATGCTATCAGAAGACACTATTCAAGGGACAACTAGTTTACTAGACTCTCAGCATATATGCCTCTTACAGGAGAGCCAAGAGAGACTTAAGATCTGGTGGCATAGGAGAGGGGTCAAAATGTACAGAAGCCCTTCAGATGGTCAACCATGTCATAAAACTGGGCTTGAGAAAAACCCAAGAATCAGAAGAAAAGCCATGAGAAGCTTTAAACAGCTAACTCAGAGCCAGCAGCATGGCTGCAGTAAAGCCAACTTGAGATATAATCATGGAGACAGGTGGAGGCCACAATTCTCTCTAAAACCAGTTTATTCACCTACAAAATGAGATAAAAATATTTAAAATAAAATTCACATAAAATAAGTACTGTGGTATTTAACACATAAGAAGTACTCAATAATTGGTGGCTTCTCTCTTCCTGTTAATTCACTACATTCACTAATGAACCTTGTGATTCTAGCTGACATTGCTTCTGCCTTTATCCTTTGTCTCCTTATGAGATTACGATCCCAGGTCACAGATATCTCAAGGATATACTTTTGGACACAGCACACAGTTGCTTTCTGCACACACCCCAGTCAAAACACATGAGGAGGGGCTGAGATGTATCAAAATCAGAAAAGTTGAAGAAAAGCCCAACCACCCACTGAGATTTTCAAATACATGTGTGACTTGTTCTTTCAGAACTCCAAGTGCATGTTGACCTTCAAAAGTCACATCTTTAGGTATGAAAGGCCAGTATGTTTTGAGCTACATATTGTAGAGAGAAACGAGAATACAATAAAAACTCTAGGGGAGTATAAATTCAACACATTTTCTCTATTACCTACAAGTATTCTGCCCACCGAATGATTGGTGTCACTAAGTCTGGTAGCCTGCTGCCCTGATCTCCACATTCTAGATTATAGAGGCAGCAAAGAATGACTCGCGATGACTCAGAGCTCAGGTTAAAGTAAACGCCAATCACATTTCATGCCACTGTGCTCATGTGGTTTTAATATCTGCACATTTAGAAATGAAAAGTCCCGTAGCCAAGATAAAGATGAGGAAAACCACTCAGTAAGACCACTTGTGGTTCAGCTCCTAACATGTGCCAGAACCCTTCATTAATTTGCTTCAATTCACTCATTCACCAACTATTTCTTCAGTTCCCCCTAGACACCAGTGATAGAATGGAGAAACACAGACCAGATCTCAGCCCTCACGAGGCACACATGCAAGATGACAAGCCAGCCACCCCAGCAAGCAAAACAGTCCAGTGGGCTTCGGGTGTCTCAGCCCAGAGGGAAGCGTGTAGCACAATGGTTAAAAGAACAGGCTTCAGAGTCAGGTGTGTTGTGTTCCCATCCCACCTTGGTCACAGACTATGTGCCCTGGGACAAGTGACATACCTCTCTCTCCACTTCTCATCTGACTTTGTAGTGTTCAGAGGATCAATCAGGTCAGTTGATGTACAAAATGTGGTAGTATGCACTACAGAGTGCCCAAAGATCAGTCCTAGCACTGGAAACTACTACTGACACACAGTTTGTCAATGTCACTGGGAGGAGGGAGTCAAAAGTGTTACCAAGGAGCTTTCTCCAAACCACCACAAATGGACATGTACAACATCACCTTTATCTTTAGTGAGAAGTAGGACTCCTTCTGTTAAATGGTATATGTGCTTATAAAGGGATCACTCAACAGTCACCCAAAAAGACTCTGTCTCTAAAACACCACAGAAATACCTGGAAGTGTTAGGGGGAAGGAAATTGTATGAAGTTTTCTCATCTATGCTCCTCCTTTCCAGTCATACTGAAGGTCATTCTCAAAGGAGTTTCTATCTTCTCTAAATCTGCAAATGCTGGAATCATTTACCTTTTCCTTTTATGGTGGTAATGGATTTAGAATCGCTCCAGTTTCCTATTCCACGACTAGTCACCGCAGCCACCTTTTCAAATCAGAGTGTGAATTAGTATGAAATAAAGGCAATACACCACACAACAAGAATTCCGAATGAGCTAAAAGGATGAGATTTTGGCAATGAGGGTAGAAAATTATACACAGAGTGACCCAGAATATTCAGTGGCCCCAGCAGCTGATAAAAGAGAGGTAAGAGACAAAGGGGAGGAATTTAGATAAAGGCAAATATGACAGTCCTAAGATTACAAAATCTCTTTTGATTGACAGATGTCAAGGTTCTTCTAAAGGGCAGGGGTGTGTGTATATTCATATACATAATCTAAGTTCTATATCCATACACACACATTAAGAGTATTGGAGAAATTATCAGTGCCAGAGAATCTCTGGAGTGTATGCACTTAATGGTCTCAACAAACACATTTGGCACAAATTCTATCTCTTTTCCTCTAAAGATAACATTGAAATTCATAAGAACCTTAGAAAAATCAGTTTATAAATGCCACTTATCATAGTTCTGAATCACCCTGCAGCTAAAGATAAGCAGAAAAGAGGTAGGTGCAAAAGTATTGGTGCTGGAAAGCTAATAGGACATTTGGGTTGCAAACAGGTAAAGCTGTATTACCATAAAGTTTTGGTTATCGGAGAGAAGTCTGATTTCCCCCCTCAGGACAAGGAACCAGGCATTTTGCCGACTACTAATATGTATCTTAAAAGTAAGCGGACTTCTTACATATGGGAACATCTAGATTGCCAGACTGCCCAGATGGCTGGAACAGATGTGAACACTCACTCTGACAGTGTATAGAGCATTGACCAGTAAGTTCTTTATTTCTGTAGCATTACTAGCAGCCCTCTGGGAGGCCCACATCTTGGAACCACTCCTGCTGTATTCTACCTAAAGTAAGAAGAAAAATAAGAGTAAAAGGCAATCAAAAGTATGGAACACCCTATTACCGTCAAAGAGGCAGGTAGAAAGAGGGGAAGGCAGGTTATGAAATGTTCTTACAGGTGAGTCATTATCCACAAACACCAATCAATTTCTAGTCATACAGAACACCCGGAAATCTCTAGCTCCCTGATACTCCAACAACTGGAAGGTACTTACAATGTACTCACGAATGAGACCGTGGGCATGGATGGGAGGAGTCCAGTGTCCAACAATCACACCTTCTGCTTCCCTGTGCAGCGAGAGCTGCAGATTTCGAGGGGCATCTGGCACTAGAAGAGAATCAGTTCAGAAGTCAACCTAAAAACAATGCAAAAACCTGTTTAAAAGTGCTAAGTGAATTCGGCAAACTTGCAAGATACAAGATCAACAGATGGAAATCAGTAGTATTTCTATGCACCAATAAAATACTAGTTGAAAAAGAAAACAAGAAACCATTAATACTGTTTATAATAAGTACAAAAAAAACCCTAGAAATAAATTTAACCAAGGAGGTAGAAGATCTCTGCAACAAAAACTATAAAACACGGATGAAAGAAATTGAAGGACACAAAAATACAAAGACATCCCATATTCACAGATTAGAAGAATATTGCTAAAATGTGCATACTACGTAAAGCAAACTACAAATTCATTACAATCAGAAAACCAATCACATTCTTCACAGACTTCCTAAAATTTTAGTGGAACCATAAAAGACTCCAAATAGCCAAAGCAGTCCCGAGGAAAAAGAATAAAGCTGGAAGTATCATACTACCTAACCTCAAATTGTACTACAAAGTTGTAGTAACCAAAACAGTATGGTACTGGTATAAAAAACTGACACACAGACCAATAGAAAAGAATCCAGAAAATAAATCTAGGTATTTTCACTAACTGATTTTTTTTTTTTGTACAAAGGCACCGAGAACATGTACTGGAGAAAGAATATGTAGTGTAGTTTTTTCTATAAATGGGGCTGGAAAATTCAGTAGGATGAAGTGAAACCTCGATCTTTCAACATATACAAAAGCAATTCAAAACAAACCAAGACTTAAATGTAAAACCCAAAACTATGACAGAATAGTTACAGAACAGTTATAGTTACAGAATAGTTATAGAAGAATAAGGAAAATGCTTCAGAATATTGGTCTGAAAAAGACTTTATAATGTGGTCTCAAAAGTTACAGACTACAAGGGCCAGGGATTTAGCTCAGTGGTTTTGCCGCCTGCCTTGCAAGTGCAAGGTCCCGCGTTTGATCCCTGGTGCCAAAAAAAACTTACAGACTACAAAATAAAAATTAACACATGAGACTACTGCAAACTCAAATACTTCCACATAGCAAAAACAATAGTGAAGACACGATCTATAGAATGGAAGAAAATATTTGCAACCTTTTCACCCAAGGAAGAATATCTGGAATATGAAAGGAATTCAAATAATTCAACTGTAACAAAAACCTGATTAAAATGGACACATGATTGAAATAGACATTTATCAAAAAAGACATTCAAACAGCCAAAAACAATGAACAGAATATGAACATCATTAATCATTAGGGAAATGCAAATTAAAGCTACACCGAGACATCATTTCACCCCCGTTAGAATAGCAATTATCAAAAAGACAAAAAATATCAAATGCTGGCAAAGATTCAGAGAAAGGAGAATTCTCCTATGCTGCTGGAGGACATATAAATTAGCACAGTCATTATGGAAAACAATGTAGAAATTTCTCAAAAATCTACCAATAATATTATCCCATGATCTAACAATCCACCACTAGAGTCTTAGAAAAAATAACTAGAACAAGAAAACACTCACTTATGTCAACTACACTGAAGAAGGAAAGTGGAAGGAATTCCATTAGACACATAAATTTGGTAAATTTCTTTAAAATTTGGCCACAAAACTGCTGACATGCATTATATTTTAATGATGATGAGCTACTAAGTACTGGCAAATATTAGAGAAGGAGGTAGAGGACAGAACTATACAAGAAATGCAAATGAGTACAATAGTAGAGAGACTCTGAAATTTACTTAAGGAGTAAGAACATTTTCTGCCATGAAAAGAAAAATTAATGATCAACAACTCAGCAAGACCATTAAACTTAGCCTCAAGATTTCTACACATGTAAGACATATAAAAGCATGTTTCCACATTCCTGAGCACCCTTGGGAAAACTAAGGTCTTGATACGTATCATAAACATGAATTATAACACTTACATCCTTCTGGAGTCCTCAGGGTGACAAAGTCATTGGTGTTGTGTGCCTTGCTCAGACATTGAATCTGTACTTTAACCTGATATGTGGTATCTGGTTTCAAGACTTTCAATACAGTGTTTGTTTTATTGCTGTGGGTCTCCAGAGTCTTCCATATGCTCTCTCCAACCACTCTGACCAAAAGAAGAAAGATACTGTCACAGCAAAGTAGTATGGGGTGGCTGAGATGTATGACATTGCTTATAAAGAGGCTCACTATAAACATCATAGCAGTTTATGGGACATTCAGTGAAAATGAAGACCATAGCAAAGATGGGACCCACCTGTAGTAGATGTTATACACACAAGAAGTAGAGGGGATTTTTTTGGGCCTCATCCAGGTCAAAGTTACGTCCCCAGAGAAGTCAGCTGTCCACTGAAGATTCTGTACTTTGTATACAGTTAACTCATCTAAAGAAATAAAGGGGGAAAAGTCACAGAAACCTATATATTACAAACCCTTGAGTTTGAAAAGACTTATGCTTTTAGGTAGAGCTACCATGATCTAAATTGTCAGGAAATCACAATCACTATCTAAAAAAAGTCCAGAAAATGTAGCTGAAATCTCTTTCTACAACCTTTCCTAGGGAAATTTAGAAATGTCCAGTGATGCTATTTTTCCTTGCATTTCACCTCCTTCCTGCCTAAGGCATTTAAGCTTGATTCTCAGTAGAGAATGTTGCAATTCCAAGGACAATGTCATAGCAGGATCTTATTACCAAATGCATTCCAGAGAAGAGGACCGAACTGATGAGAAGCACGGCTCTGTGAACAATGGTACATCAACAAGAGGCCCCCAGAAAACAAACCTAAAACCAGAATTTCATCAACAGGGAGGAGGTGGCAGGAGGTCACAGAAGAATGGGGCCATGATGCTCACTTGGTGCTCCAAAGTTAGGTACGAATCTCTTTCACTTCCAGAGGGAGCAACAGTTCTAAAAGGAACTAGCTGGATATCCCCACAGCAATTGAGCCTCCCAGCCCAGACCAGCCTATGGGGCCAGCACTCACCACTGCAGGCCTTCTCATCACTCTCGTCCGAGCAGTCCAGGAAGCCATCACAGCGCTCTGAGAGAACAATGCAGGCCTCCCCATCTTCACACTTGAACTCCCTGCTCATACAGGTCAAGGAGCTGTGTGTGGCTGGAACACAAAGAACTTCTTTAAACCCAGAGGGGAAGTACCATGTTGCACAAAAGGTCCAGGTTTACTCATCAGACTGTTTGGGAAGAACAGTTTGAAACCTTTCTGAACTAATTGGCTTCTGCTTTGAAGGACATCTCTGGAACAAGTAGAATCTACTCTGGCACGGTGGTACCATCTTATTTAACAGTAACAATTGGAATCTCTTTCCAGGAAGGATGTAAGCTCTAGAGTCAAACAAACATTAAGCTTTCATTCTGTGTGAGCTTGAGGAAGCTCCTTAACATCATCCAAGTTCAAGTCACCCTATTAAAACTGGGGTGACAATTCCATGGCTACTCCATCTATGGGATCTAATGATATACAGTACTTGCAGCAGTGCCGGGCTCCTGGCAGGTGTCAACAAATTGTACCTATTGCTCTTCAAGACTAATTACTCTCTTCCTATTAGTTTGCAGTCTAAAATGATACAAACAATGAGATGAATCACAATAATGTTAAGAGGCATGCCTGCTTTGTATAGTGCTTTTTAATTGTACAAGTTTCCAAAGTATTTTTGTAGAAAATGAAATAATGCAAAATAAGGAAGTATGGTGGACCCTTGACTTACGAACTCAATTTGTTTGTGAGGACTGGTTGCAACTCAAGTTGGTCAGTTGAAGGCTCAGTCTCCTCTACACAGCCTTCAAAGTCTCTCTCCTGTATACAGGCAGATCTCAGTGTCCTTAGAGAGACACTGGCCCAGGACTTCTCAATTAACCCCACACAGGAAAGGATGTTGTAACGTTCCTTCCAGAACTCTTTAAGGGTTAAATCTGTGTCTGAGACCATCTGAAAGCACCTTTGTTCATAAGTTAAAACTAAAATTCCTGCCATAACCAAAGTTATTCACATGTCAGGCTGGTCATAACTTGAGGGTCACTGTAAGTGAAGAGTTAATCAACTCTATGGCAGGCTACTAACCAAAACACTTCTCTCTAGCAGGGGAGGCTCTAAAAAGGAAGAGATGATGATAATGTAATTGCAAATGATGCTAATGGAGAGGACAGAAGGGAATGGCTATAGGAACCAGATCTACTACACCAGGGTGGTCTGAGATAGGCCTAGGTACTTTACATTGTCACTATTCTGGATCCTGGCCAAGGAAGGGTGACACTGAAGATCCAACACCATCAATAAATGGGTTCTAAAATTAACTTTGTACCTCTAGTTCAAAGATTTTCACATTCTAATCCCTGGAACTTAACAGGTTATTTTATACACCAAAAGAGATTTTGTAGATGTGATTAAATTAAGGACCTGTATTATCCAGGTGGGCCCAATCTAACCACATGTTTTGAGATACAGGCCGAGAAAATGGATAATGTTCATTACATTATAGAAATCTATCACATGCTGAACTGACATTGGTTTGTCTTGAGGAAGTGCCTGAGGGAGCGTACTACAGATAAAGGGATATTACAGTATTTAAAAATGATTCAAGAATTACTGCTATAATGATTTCAAGAGTGCAAGATGGAATTCATCCATCTTTGCAGTGAACACTGACAAAGATCCTACCATGAATCTATGCCAGTCGCTAAGAATATGATAATGTGTCAAGCAAACAAAGATCCACCCTCGGAGAGTTTATCATCCCTTGAAAGAAACCATAAACAGGTCAACCAACAAATATGTCATTTCCAATAGTGTGAAATGGAAACAAAGTCTTTGTAAACAGGGAAGGGTGGAGGTGGTGAAGGGAGGACAGGGAATAGGGAAAAAATAAGAACCGAGATACATTATGTACAGGTACAATTACCCAATGATAAATATAAGCATATTGTATACCTAAAATGTACCAATAAAAGAATTTAAGCAAAAAAAAAAAAAAAAAAGAGCTACAGAGGGACATAAAAAGAGTGAGTTTAAGGGTGGGTGCGTTGCACCCCTTTATACAGGATAGTCGGGGAGAGACGCTGCTCAAAAGGGGATTGTTTTTAAAAACATACAAGATCATCATCGCAGAAGTTTTCTGCTTGGAAAGAATGTGAGAAAATATCAGCAAACAACATCTGGAGAATGTTCAAGACTTCTTTATAAAATGTGTCTCTAAATTTTAAAAGCAAAAAAACATAGTTTTCAGAATTTGGAAATCAGGTTGTCATTACTCTGAAGATTCTTAAGCTGATTAAAGAGATGCCTAATGGGTGATTACCACAGAACATAGTAGTGTCAGTTTCTTTCAGAAGAAATATGTCATACTAACCGCATTTTGTTTTGACAAGGTGATCAGGTTAATGTATTGAGGAGAATTATGGATATGGCACATCTTGATTTTAAGTCCCTTAATTAAGCAGCACTGTTGTGAACCAGACAGATTTAAAACAGGTTGAAGATACTGGCTTAAACATTCAATTAATGAGTTATTATCGCCCACGAGGGAGAGTCTGCATATTTTCCTCTTTGTTAATTATTTTTCATGTTATTCTTATTGTGTGGTTACTGGGCTCAGATGTTCCTATTGTCATTTTGGTGAGTGGGGGGTCAACCTGTCATATTGTTTTAATGTCCCAGGGGTCAACTTTTTCATTCTTTTAATGTAAGTGAAGAATTTTACACTAATCTCTATCTAATATTTCTATGTTACATGTGGTGCACCCTTCCATCATAAGAACTTTCAACACAGATAACATGATGGAAAGATCACAAGTCTTTACCTAGGTAAATGTCTCAGTCTGTGATTGACTAGGTGGTCAGTCCTCTTTGAACCTTAGTTTCCCTATCTCTTAGTGTTTCCTGTCTCTAAACAATACCAACTCACAAGGTTGAGAATTAAGTGAAATAAATATATGGTTCACGTGAGGACAATGAATGATACATTAAAGCACATTATCAAATGTTAACTTCCCTTCTTAAGTCCTAATTATTTCACAAAAAAAATTAGTTATCTTGTTGACTTTTTATTGCCAGCATGTATGAGACTAATGCCTTCCAAATTTTCGTCCAAGTCACATGACATTTTCAACAGGACAGAGCTACTTGAAAAGTACCGCAGAACATTACATCAGCAAATATAAGGAGCAAAGTAGAGCAGCCTGAAGAAGACCACTTATGATAAAGTAAAGAGAAAAATAAAACAAAAGCCAAAAAAGCAAGAATGCCACCAGGCATAATAATGAAACTAACACATAGACAATATAATTGGAGTCATTTTGGTTCCTGAGTTCCAGATAATTAGAAGCAAGTGTACTAATGTACAATTTATCTGCAAAATGCACCTGCCTCTACTCAATTCCTGATTATGGAGGATGTTAGTAGTGGGATCCTTTACTGTTTTCCTAATCTAAACAATAAGCAAACAAAATAAGCCAACCTAGCTTAGAAACTGAAAAAGTAGCAAAAGTTAAAGGGTATTTCTTGAAAAAAGACCCCTAAGTAGCAACTTATCAAACTCCTTGAATTTTAGACATAGAAAGGACCCTTCAGACATACAAAATAAAGGCAGATGTGACTTTCATGAAGAAAAAAAGCAGCACAAATGATGGGGGTTTTGTGACCCCTATAGGTAAAGCACATGTTGAGAAAAAAAACATACATTTGGTAATAAATAAGTTTCACATCTCAGGTTAAGAACTTGGCTAAGGCAATATTTCTGTCTCAAGTCAGCAATCTATCAAGACCTCCAAGACATAATGAAATCTGTCTCCACAGGTCAATAACTATAGAGACAGTTATAGGGAACCATGAAGATGTGAAAACTGGCAAAGACTCATGGGAGATCATGTGGAGAAGATCCCTGACAATAGATGACAGCACATGAGCAGTACAAAAACACCTTCTACAACGACAGGCCTATCCTCTAACTCTACACTGGGAAGCCTCACACTAGCTTAGGCTCCACTGTCAAGTCAATGAGCCCATTATGGTCCCAGACCCACACAGGGAAGCCTGGCATCCTCCACCCTGTCCAGCAGCTATGGTATTCCAGTCATCCAGAGAGGAAGACCTCCCTCTTCCTTCCTCCTGATTGCCATGGCCCCAGAAACACCAGGATATATTGCTCCTGTTTCACCTTCACAGTCCCATCATATTAGCCTCCTTACACAGTCTGAGTGATCTAAAATGTAAGGACACCATCATTCCTGCTAAAATCTGCAATGGTTCTCTATGACCAGAAAGATAAATTCCTAGCATGGATCCCCTACCCAAGTCCCCTGACTGTCTCTGCACTCAAACTTTGCCCTTTGGCCCTCCTCAGACCTGTTTTCTTGTGCTTCTGAGCCTCTGGGTGTTCATGCTGTCCCTAGGATGCCTGTCATCTGTCACCTTGGCTCACTGATCTCCATTAATACTCTTTCACAGCTGAGTAAGGTGGTGTGCACCTGTAGTCCCAACTACTCAGCCAAGGTATGAGGATCACTGGAGCCCTAGAGTTCAGGGCCACCCTGGGTAACACAGTAGAAAAACATTTCTTAAAATAAACAAGCAAACAAAAAACCACTCAGGAGTCATCAGCTAGATGCTTTTCCTGACCAGCTCCTACCTCTCCAGGAAGATGGCCAGATTTACCTCCTAACTATGTCAGTTCCTTGAAGACACTTCTGTTACTGCCCACCTTGTACTGGGATGCAGCTAGGGACTCATGTTTCTCCCACTAGAATCTGTGTCCTCAATAGCCTGATCAGTACCTGCCACATCCTGTGTGATCAACAACTATTTGTCCAACCAGACTGAAGGATGTTACTGGACACACACCAAGTATCTAGGATAGCACAGAATTTACCACACTTGTCTGATGCTAAGAGTCACACATGGATGGATTCCTGAGCATCCTCCCAGAAATTGCTCCTAACTCAATGGTCAAAGATGACCAAACTCACATTTTTCATAAACACTTCTCACATGATCCCACTGTTACACAAATTTCCTAACTACTGAGATAGAAAAATTAAGAGATAACTGATGTTCTCTGTTTTTAATCTTTAGTCGACTCTCAAATGGTAAGATTTGATAGAGTTTCATTTGGGGCTTCAATTTTCACTTAGGAATTTTTTTTTTTTTTTTTTTGGTACTGGGGATTGAACTTGGGTCCTTGCGCTTGCAAGGCAGGCGGCAGAACCACTGAGCTAAATCCCTGGCCCATCACTTAGGAATTGTTAAAGAAAAAAATAGGACCAGAACAGGGATCAAAGAAGAGGAATGGAGACACTTGCTGCTTGGGTTAGGGCTAGAGAAAGCTCTCTGCAGAGAGGCAGGTCAGACTTTGCCACTCATTCTATGTTCACTAGAGGAAAAATCAGACATAGACAAGTATGAAGACATGCTCTTCTTGGTAGTTAAGGGCATATGATTGGCTGCGACATCTTCTGCCTATAGTCAGCAGATGATTAGATGAAGAGGAGACCCCCAAAAGAAAGGGAGGCCCAACCTACAGCCATGTCCGCCATCAGAGAAGCATGCTGATGATGAGTGGATGGGCACTGTTCAGCCACACACTCCCAAAACCTTTATAGTTCTATCCATAAGAACAGAGGCAGCCTTAGTGTGCAGCCAGGGATCAAAAGGCTCTGTCTTTGTGGCATGAGGAGGAAACGTATGATCTCATCTGTCTATCCTGACCTCCAGGCTGTCTACTTCTACCCTCTGCCTCCTGAGAGTCATTCTGATTTGTAGGACATCCTTGCTGAGCTCACACTGTGGACCTCACTCAGCTCACAAAGCCATGTCTCCCTCTATCACCTACTCCAAGGGTCCTCCCTGGGCACACTGGAGAAGCAAGGGTCAACACCCATTATGTTTCACAAGTGCCAACACAAAGCCGACAGACAGTGGGTACATCATCTCATATTGGGCTCAGGCTCACCAACTGGAATTACCCTATGGGCTAAGGCTGAATTTCTTAATGGGGTGCTGGAGGTGATCCTGCCCAAACAATATGGTCTCTACACCTCATAGATGCTCACTAAGTATTTCCAGAAGAATGAATGCATATATGGAAGGTCATGGCTTTATCCACAGGTGTCTCAATCAGTTGAAATGTTTAGATAAATCACTATTTATTTTTCTCATTCATTTAGAAGATATTTTAATGTATCAGTTCCCGGTATTTAAAATAAATCAGTCATCTTATTTGAAAATGTGGCTACCATATAATATGATGTGGGCTTGTGCACTAAATTATAAGAATATTATAAAAGGATAGTTACACAAAAGTGCCTGGACTCACTCTCTCTCTCTCTCCCTCTCACACACACACACACACACACACACACACACACACACACACACAATTCTGGCTCTCTCAAGTCTGCCTAGGCTGAGGCTCTTAATACCTACGGCAATTGGCCTCATCCTCACCATCTTGACAATCCTGATGGCCGTCACAGCGCTTCCAGTTGGGGATGCACTTCTTTGGTTGGTGGCACTCAAATTCAAATCGGTCACATCTCCCAAGCTGGGTGGGAGTGGAGGGGGCAGTAACATTTGCTAGAAAAGAGATTTTTAAAACTCATATACATTAGTATTGAGGAGCTTGGCAGAAACAGCAACAACTTGATGTACTTAGGAAAGTACAGTGCTTCGGGGATTGCTATGGGCACCTGTGAGCTCTGGACCAAGACAGCAGACTGAGTGCTGACACCTAATTTGCTCCTTCATAGGACCCACAAGAGATCTAGTTCAGAGACTGATTTTAAAGTCCTAAACCCACAAGGGCATGGATAATAGAAAATTAGACAAAAGGATTGAAATTTAGGAAGCTCGAAAGCAGACAGACAGTGACTAAAGAGATCAGAGAGGATTGTATCCTACCCTGTATCCTACCCCGAGCTATAAGAGGAGAAAGACAAAACCCAATCAGATCAGTACCATGTATTCCTCAAAACAGCTCAGAAACCAGCTCCTCTTAACTGGAAGTGAAGAAGGAGAAAAGCAAGGTAAAGGAATCAACTAAAGATGTTTAAGAAGCAGCTACACTCCTGGGCTGTGAGTACAGCCCTGCATAGAATGCTTACCTAGCATGCACAAAGCCTGGGTTCCATCCCAGTATGACAAAAACAACAGAAAAGAAGTGCCTACATTCCCTAAATCCTTTCAACCTAACAGCTGCATGAGACAATTACCACATATATCATCCCAATAGAAGACTGCTAGGTTGTCATTTGAACAAAATAAAAATAGCTCCTCAGAGAGGCATAGTAAAAGCAAGAACATCTTAGTATAAACCTGGGATTAAACCTACAGACAGCAGAATGTGAAGATCTCATTTCTCATCCCAAGAATCTCATAAAGGGGATCCCTGTTGTCTAGGCAGGAGCTTGTAAGAATCCCCTCTAGGGAAACTAATCAGCCTCAGAGATAACTCTGAAATTACTATGGTCCTAGAAAGCTAAGGCAAGGCAAATGATGCCACTTATTCTTGGACAAGAAGGGAATCACTGGAATGTCCCAAGAGACATCACCATGTGTCTTACTGGAAGATAGGCTGAAGGGGAGACATATGAGGAAGAGAAAGCAGTTATGAGACTTCTACACCAAAGAAATAAGAAGTAACAGCTGGAGACAATACCAAGTTCAAATTTGCACCATCAATCTACACAAAAAGAAGGAACAAAAGCTCAATGAAATGTGTAATTAGGGATCTGCTCACTAGATTAGTCAGAATTTGCTAGCGTATGTTAATGTCCTGGTCAGACTTTTAATAATCAAAAACAATTTTCAGAGAAGGATAAGCAAGATATTCAGTAGACAGATAGGTTTTGAAAGGATAGAGGTAACAGATTTCTTTTTTTATCATTCATTTTAGTTTGAGACGCATGTATAGGGCACCAAGTATTTGCCTATCACTGTGGTAGACACATCAAAAGATTCAAGGTTGTATACAGTATGATCCTTAAACAGGAGCTTCACATAACTGATATAGAAAAAAAAAGAGCTACACACATGAGAAAACTGGGAAGCAATATAAGGCAGGTCATAGTTAAGAATCCAAAAGGCCATGGGGTAAGTCCAATGAGATTGAAAAACACATGCACATAAGTTAAAGGAATTGGGGAAAGCTCCCTGGAGGTAGGGTTGGAAGGGGAGAATCAAGCCATAGTTGTTTGAAGTAAGAATCTCAAATTTTAGTGATCCTAAGAAGCACATGGGGATCTCCTTGACTCCACCCACCTCAGGCAATTCCATTATAGGTAGTCAGTGGACCATACTTTGAGAAACATTTATGCTATAGCAAGGTCACTTTGCTGTAAAATCCAGGCTTCAGTTTCCCATGATGGATGGAGGGTTTCAGAGACAGGAAAAGTAGCAGAGTGAGGTAGAAGGTACAGGAGTTTCTGCTAAGGGCAGAGGCCTTGCTGCAGATAGATGTACAGGTAAGAAGGAAGCAAGTCTGTCTGACACAGATGAGGGATTCAGCTGGGCTGATGTAAGAATTAAGGGAGGCAAGGAGGAGTCACCTCACACAGGGCCTTGGAAACAGGAATGAATCATCAAGAACTGGTCTTCTAGAAAAAAGAACAAGAGGAAATCATTGGTGACTTAAATAGGAAAGCAACAGAATGAGCACAGTCATACAGGAAGAAAATCAGACTGTGGGACATCTGCTAGGATTATGCAAAGCACGCAAACACGTATCTATTCTCTTCTTGTCAATGACTTTGAAAAGGACTCCTGCTTAGGGAGGAGCACATCTTAATTTGTTCTGCTTGCAGAGGAGTGGACACATTAGATGGGATCTAGAGGTCCCAGGCCTCCAGCAAGGCAGTTCCAGCACAGACCTGTAGCTACTTCTGTATTCAGCCACTAGATGGCAGTGCTCACTCTTCTTTTAGAAGCACAGGCCAGACAACCAGCAAGCAGGAAAATTGGGCCCTCTCCCCTGAGAGTTTAATACGCATACAAAAACCTCCCTATCATCCCAACTGCAATTTCCCACTGAGAAGAAAGCAGAGGCTGCCCTACCACAGCACGGGTGGGAAGCCGGTGGCTGGCCTTTTCTGGCAGGGAGTTTGGAGGGCAGTTTGGAAAACAAGATGCTGCAGTTTCGGGCTCCCATGAGCCTTCTCTCCCAGGAGCAGCACCGGAAGTCTCCCTGCCTGAAAGGCGTGAGGTTGGTGAGAAGCACGGGGTGTGGCCAGGCTGTGCTCCTGAAAAGTCCACTCCCCACAGCAGGAGACACAGGAGGGAGCCAGACCCGAGACTCACCAAGCGAGGGGCAGGCTTCCTCATCTGAGCCATCTGCACAGTCTCGGTACCCGTCGCACACCCAGGTGTCCATCACGCAGGCCCCGGTGCTACAGCGGAAGTAATTGGGCAGACACGTGGAGGGCCCAGGTGTGGGGGAGGGAAGAAGGTTTGAATCTGAGGAAGATACCAAGTGAGGAAATCCAAAACATTACTAGAAGCTTGATCTCAGACTAAATGTGTCCCAAACCTAGTGCAGATGTCCTAGCTATACTCTTCCCTCTTAGGGTAGTGGAGTTACCATACTATCAAGTGGATACAAGCTAATAGTCAGGTAAGTTTGCTTTTGTGAGGACTTGTGAAGTCTGATGGAAAGAACGGGCGGCCTAGAAGGCACAGGATGGCCGGAGAAGTCCTAATGTTCTAGTTAATTCATCACAATGACCCCAAGGCCTGGCACGGAGGTGAGAATGCCAAGAGGGAAGCAGAAAAGGTATGTGTGCTGCTCTGTGATGTATCACAGCACATGCAGGACCTAGGGACCTTGTCAAAGTGCAGATTCTCATTCAGTCGTTGTGGACAGGGCCACAGATTCATCCCCCCCCCCCCCCCCAGTTATTAGGGATTGACCCCAAGGTCTCAGCACTGAGTTAAACCCTGGTCCTTTTTAAAATTTAAAAATTTTGAGATACGGTCTCAATAAGACACTTAAGTTGCCCAGGTTGGGCTCACACTTGCAATCCTCCTGTCTCAGCCTCCCTGAGTGCTGGGATTACAGGCCTGCACCACCACAACCAGTTGAGATTATCTACTTCTAACAAGCTCAAGGAGATGCAGATGGTACTGGTCTGCAGACCACATTCTGAGCAGCAATGCTCTAGACTGCTGGCCATGCCTTGCAAAATCTGCAAAGAATAACCTTGGGAACAGGAGAAACCAATTGCCTTGATTTCAAAATGAGAGGGGGGCTAAAAAAAATCTCAGGGTCACAACTCCAAAAAAATCCAAAAATGTAAGGAATATGCCAGGCACTACAGAATTAGATTCTCTGCAGACAGGTGAAACTGTTCTGGTCCCACAACTGGTCAAGTACTATCCCAGGGTCTCTTACCTCCACAATCCTTCTCTTCGGACCAGTCCCCACAGTCATTCTCCCCATCACACTTCCACCTGTTGGGGATGCAGTGGCCATTTTCACACCGGAACTGGAAGTATCGGGAACAGTTTGGCACTTCTGTGGGGTTTTCTGCAAAGATCAATCACACCATCACTCATTTCCCCTGTGCCAGTGTGAACACTTAGCTCCTCCTGTACACCTCCTGGAGTCCAGGGCTACCTGCACTTCCCCTCCAGAGTCCATATGCACCTGTGCGGACTCAATGGACAACAAAAATACCCACAAACTCAAAAGCACTCAGTTCTCAGCCTTCCACTCTTGTTTCTCACTCCTACATTTTGGTATTGTTGGAATACTCAAGTTTTTATGTTGATGTTTCATCAAAGGAATAACTTAAGTACTGATAATAATTCAGTGGTGATGTTTTAGTCTGTAACTTCAGGGAAGAAAAAGTACACTCTATAATATTGGTCTTGAATCCTCACCTAGCCTATGTTCCCTATATATCCTGTGATCCTCCCAACTGGGGAAAGGACAGGAAATGAGATAAACATTTCCCTGCCACCTATAAGCTCTTAGGTTCCCACTTCATTCAGTTCTTCATTTGGGGATTCAAGAACTGCAGTAGGTACTGCAAAGGAAGGAGAAGATAAAGTCTTCAGGGGGATTTCTAGCTAACATTTTCTCCTTAACCACAGGTATCATTGCCACTGGAAGGCCGGGATACACAGAGGCAGATCTAAAATCTCACCACAGTTGGCTTCATCAGAGTAATCGCCGCAGTCATCCATCCCATCGCATTTCCAAATCAAACTGATGCACACTCCATTCTGACACTGGAAACCGAATGCATCACACACCTTGTGGAACTCAGGATCATGGGCTACATAAGGAACAAACACCCATAAGTCCGGGTTACTTCTGTGCTGGAGAAGTCAAAGCAACAGTGCTTCTCAGAAATGAGATGGAAGAGCAAACTGAATCTTAATAGAAAACACCTTGTGTTAATTAATCCATTCTGCAAAACTTTATGAGTACGGTTACAGACTGAGTTTATCCTCCCAAAACTTATAGGGTGAAGTCCTAATCCCCAGGCCTTCAAACACGTGACTATTTTGGATATAATGTTTAAAGAGGTAATTAAAGTTAAAATGAGGGCATGAGGGTGGGCCCTAATTCAATATGATTGGTATTCATATAAATGTAGGCACAGGCATGTAGAGAGGAATGACCATGCAAAGATACAGGGAAAAGATGACCATCTACCAGGTCAAGAAAGAGGTCTCAGAGGAAACCAATTCTGTCAACACCTTGATCTTGGACTTCCAGTCACTAGAACTGTGAGCAAAGACATTTCTGTTGTGTGAGTCATTCAATTCGGAGCACTTTGTGGCCCAAGCAAACAAATATAAGCAGAGCACTGTTTGAGGAAGGGGCTATGTCAATGAATAAAACAAAGGCCCTGCTCTAGTGACACTCATGCTAACAGAAGAGGTGGACAGGAAAATAAGTACGTAGTGTATAAAGTGGGGAAAGTGCTGTGAAGACCTCAGGGACAGGGAGGGGGGCACGGAGACTGGCTACTGGGTACAGAATGGTAAGGAAGCCCTCTCGACAAGGTGACCCGTGAGCCAAGATCACAGTCATTCTCCACTGAGTGGGGCCTAATCCCCTTATACATGTACTAACAGCTAAAAAGCAGCATTTCTTTGGCAAACTTAGACACTCTGTTGAGACCTGTTAACGAAGCAAAAGTGCATCCCAAGCTAGCACAACCTCATGTCTATGAATGACCTTGCCACCAGCCCCACTCACAGCATCCGGCAAAGGCAGGATCCTCATCTGATCCATCCCGGCACTGGATGATCCCATCACACACCATGGAGTGGAACAGGCACTGCTGGCGGTTCTTGCACACGAAGTCCATGAAGCGTGTACAGAGGGGCTCTGCAAGGGGGAAAGGGGCAGAAATGGCAATGAGCGCTGGGGGCCAGCTGGGCAAATGACACTGAGAGAGATGTACACTGGGGAAACAAGAGTCACAGCCACTGCTGATCAAGAACTTGCTTTATGCCAAGACCGGAGCTAAAGCACTTACCATGAAAGAGCATCATTAAACCATCAAGACAACATTGTAAGACATTTAATCATCTCTGTTTTTAAAGTGAAAAAATAGCAGTAAGCAGCATCAAGTACTGTGCCAAGAGTAAACAATTACTGAAGGAGAAGCCAAAGTGAAATCCAGAGCTAATTGGCATCAAAGCCAGTTATCTAACTCACTATTAATATGATCCTGACTCTCTAATCCAGGGGTTGGCAAACTTTATGTATGGGACTGGTGTTATGAACTGAATTATGCCTACGCTTCCTCCCCAGAATTCTTATGTTGAAGCCCTAATCCCCCAGTGTGAATGTATATGGAGAGGGATACTTTAAAAAATGTTACTAAGGTTAAATGAAGTCATAAGAGTTGGGCCCTAATCCAATAGGATTGATGTTATGAAAAGAGATACCAGGAAGAAAAGGCCATGGGGGCACACAGCAGAAATGTGGCCTTCAGAGGTAAATTATAACCGCTTCTTTCCTGGGCCCTCAACCTGAGAGCCTTCATATTTGAACTGTGACTTCAGCTTGTCATGAATCTCCAGCCTGCCAGTTCACCCTACAAATTTTCTATTTGCCTGTCCCCATAATCATGTGAAAGAACTTATTACAAATTTGTCTCCCCCCCATATCTTATTGGTTTTACTTCTGTGAAGAACCCCAGTAACATATCCAGAGAGCAAAGATGTTAGGCTCTGCAAACATACAGCCTGCTATAGCTGCTCAATTTCACCACTATAGCATAAGAGCAGCCCATGTAATACACAAGCAAAGAGTAGTTATTGTGCTCAAATACAACTTCATTTAAAAGAACAGATTATCAGCTGAATCTTGTTCACAGGCCAGTTCACCACCCCCTACACAACACATTAGATGAATTTCACTGTGGACTGCACATTAGAAATACCTGGAACACTGTTTTTTCAAAAAAGACAAAAAAAAAGAAACAAAAAACCAAGGCCCAAGCCACACTCTAATCATCTCAGAACATTTGGGGTTGATGCCCAGGCACTCATCCCTTTCAAAGCTCTGCAGGTGGTTCCATTGTATACTCAAGGGTGAGCACCACTAACCCAAGATGATCTAAAAAACATTGGGGATAGAAAGGGTCACCTGACATAAATGCCTCCTAAATGACAATCAGTAACATTGATGAAACCCATCAAGGAGAAGCAAGTGTCTAACTGAAAATAAATGGTTGACACCCTCATTGGAGGAAAGATAGCCTATTTAATAAATGGTGCTGGAAAAACTGGATTTCAACCTGGCAGAGATTAAAACTAGACCCATATCTATCACCATGCACTTACCTAAGATCAAAGTGGATTAAAAATATAAATATTAAGGAAGAAACACTAAACTTGCTGGAAGATAAGTTAGGTAGAACTCTTGAAGATATTGGCAAAGACTTTATGAACAAAACCTCAGTAGCATGAGAACTAGCACAAAGAATCAACAACTGGGATCTCATCTTATTAAAAAGCTTCAGCACTGCAAGAGAAACTACCAACAGAGCTAAGAGACAACCTACAATGTGGGAAAAAAGTTTTAGCAGCTATACCTCAGACAAAGGTCCACTATCTAGAATATATAAAGAATTGAAAAAAATCAGACCTCCCAAATTCAAAGACCCAATTCAAAAATGGGCATCTGAAATGAACAGACATTTCTCAGACAAAGAAGTAAAAGCAGCAAATAAATATATGAAAAAATGTTCAACATCACTGGTCATTCGAGAGATGCAGATGAAAACAACACTGAGATTCCACCTCACCCCACAAAGAATGGCTGCTATCAAGAAATCAACCAATAACAAATGCTGGTGGGGGTGTGAGAAGAAAGGAACCCTTCTCCATTGTTGGTGGGAGTGCAGACCGGTGCAACCACTGTGGAAATCAGTATGGAGAGACCTCAAAGAACTAGGACTAGAGGTCCCATTCGACCCACTATTCCCCTGCTGAGTATCTTCCCAAAAGAATTAAAAGAATCACACCACAGCGATATGTGCACCTGTGTTTATAGCAGCACAGTTCGTAACAGCTAAAGCTTAGAAACAGCCCAAGTGCCCATCAACTCGAAACTGGATAAAGAAGATGCGGTTTTTTTATAAAATGGAGTACTGCTCAGCCATAAAGAACAAGAAACTAGAGACATTTATAGCTAAATAGATGCATATTGAGGCGATACTCTTAGGTGAAATAAATAGGACACACATGTGTAAATACCGAATAGTTTCTCTAGTGTGAGAAACTGAAAGTGTAAATAAGGATTAAAATGAATAATTGATAATTTGAAATAGGAAAAGGTCCAAAGGTATAGGGATGGTGGGAGGGGAAGGGGAAATGAAAAATTATGAGAGAAGAAAAAAAATGGAAACGAAATCTATGTAAATAGGGAAGGGTGGAGGGGGTGAAGGGCGCACAGGCAATGGGGAAAAACGTAAGAACTAAGATACATCATGTATAGGTACAAGCACCCAATGATAAATGTAAACATATTGTATACCTAAAATGTACCAATAAAAAAATTAAAGAAAAAAAAGGAAAATAAATGGTTGATTTGTAGTAACCCTTCAATGTTTAGTGTTCCATTTTTGGAACACCTGTAACACTGGAACACAATAAAATTTTTTCTCTTCAAATTTTTATTCCTTGACTTTTTCTATGTAACATATGAATGTCATACAAAAATTCAATAAATTGCCACATTCAGTATGAATGGGGTATACATGACAGCCAAACAATAATATTCACCCAAGTATAAACTAATTCTGCAGTCACTGACCCTGACCCTCTTCCTGGTCTTCTCTGCCCAAACCTAGTCTCCCTGCCTGATCAACTCCTAAATCCTGGCCAAGCACTCCATGGTCTAGGGTTAAAAGCTAACCGAACAGAGGTACTGAAGAAGCAAATGGATTTGATCCAACTGATGCTCTTCATTCACAACGACCAGGCCTTGGTGTGTGGAGCAGACTTACCACAGTGCTGTTCATCAGAGCCATCAGAGCAATCCCGTAGACCATCGCAGTGTTTGCTAGATGGGATACATGTGCCATTGGGGCAACGGAATCCATTGCATTTCTTCTCTGAAATGTAATCCAACAATAACAAAGAATGACAAAGAAGAAATAGGTAGGCACTCACATCCCTTGTCAGCAGGATATAAATCTGTATCAATCCTAAGACAATTTGGCAATAACTAGCAAAAAATTATAAATATATATATATATATATATATATACACACACATATACTTGGACCCAACTTAAAAATGTAGAAATGTTCTACAAAACTGAAAAATAATGTAAATACAAAGTAAAAATCTGTACTTAATTTTAAGTAAAAGTGTTACATTGCATTACTGTTTATAATAGATCAAAAATCACCTATATGTTCATCATTAGGGGACTGTTTAATAATTGGAACACTAAATTAAAGAAGAGCACTAATTAAAGAAGAGAAATACAGAAAATTTTCTCCCAGATATACAGTTATGTGAAAAAACAAGGTACAAAATCACATGCACAATAGAATATTATTTGTATAAAATAGGGCAAGAATGCAGAGTATACTTAAATTTTATTTATATAGTTATGCATCACCACAACAGGTACGTTCTGAGAAACATAATATTATTCAATTTTTGCCATTTGAAAATCAGAATGTACTTACACAGACCTAGATGGTATGGATAGATCATGCACTCAACATGCTCTCTTGATGCATTCAAGAGATGTGGTAAACACAAGATGTATGAGGCTGCTGGCAGTGTAATACAGCCGAATACATTAGTTAATTTTTCTTTTAGTAATTAAAAGAGGTGTACTGTGCAATAATGATAAAAACTACTGTATAATAAACAGGTAAGCCAGTGACACAGTCGTCTATTATTAATTATCATATGCTATATGTAATTGCATGTGTGATACTTTTATATACCTAGTAGTACAGTATGTTTTTTACCACCACAAACACTTGAGTAAAGTGTTGCACTATGAGAATGGCTACAATGTTAGTAGACAATAGAAAAGTTTCAGCTGCATTATAACCTCATGGGACCACCATCATAAATTTGGTCTGTCACAGAAGTATCATTATGCACTGCATGACTGTATATGCACAAAAGTATTCTGAAAGGATATTAAAGTATGGTTTCCTAGGGGACAAGGTCAGAACAGGGCAAACAGGTAGAGCAACTTCTACTGTAGTGTTTTTATACTTTTTCCAGTTTGAACCTGGTAAACGTATTACACAGTCAAAAATTAAGTATATTTTTAGAACAAAAAGAAAAGTTTCAGCGAATAGAAGAAAAATTAGGTCATGAATCCCCATTATAAATTTATAAATCTCTTTGAATCACCTGCAACCTTAGTTCTTTAGGAATTCTAACACAAAGCCCTTTTGGAAAAAGTCTGTCTAAAAATGTTTAAGAATCTGAGATTTCACAACCAATTCCAGGGGAAATTAAGCTAGAACCTAGGTATCTTGAGCAGAAGCTATAATACTAGTTTACCCTCTCTCCCAAGCAGTTTTCAGCATTAGATTTAAAAATCAGTTCTACCATGGCAACGTAGCTTTGTAAAACCAGTGTTTTGCAGACAGTTCCATGGGTATTAGAAAGAAGGCAAGAAAACGTGTTTTGATCCTAGAAAAAAATCATCTTTTGTAGGAAATCTGTCAAAGGACAGGGAAGTGATTAGATGATGGGGCCACTATCATTGACCTGCTGTTGGGAGGTGGGGCCGGGTTGGAGGTGGGTCACTGGGAGTGTGACCTGCTAGGCTGTATCTCCTTCCTTAGTGCCTACTTTCCCTCTCTGCTTCCTGGCCACCATGACGTGAGCAGCTTTCCTCTCCTCTGCCATGGTGTTTCTGCCTTGGAGCCAACCTGACATGAACTGTAACCAAGATCCCAAATAAACCTCTCCTCCTTTGAGTTAGGGGGGGTTCAGTCTTGTGTCTCATTGATGAAAAAAATGACGAAGACAATATTCTAGGAAATGTCTCAAAGGAAAAACAGGCTTTCACTTCCAAGAACCTGAATGGCTATACTAGCACAACAATGTAAAACTAAAAGCACTCAAATGCCCAGGCAGGAATCAACTAAGTAAACCAGGTTCTAATAATACAAACTGAGTATGTAGCCTCCATAAAACAGCTAGCTACAGAAAATACAGATATACGGAAACGACTTTTTAAAGTTTTGTAACATGAAAGAAATTACGATGTGTTTTGTGCACGTACCAACTCCTCACGATGTATGTAATCATTATATACTGTGAACTTGTACTAATAAATTTTTTTAAAAAGAAAGCAATATAAAGACATGTAGACGATAAGTACAATCCTATTAAACTTTGGAATGTTTGGCAAAAGGATTAGCACAGAAAACCTTAAGAATATTTGGTGTGGAACAGCACCTTGAATACTGTTATGGTGTGGTGGCATTTCAGACTGTCGTTTGTATGAGAGGCAAAGTGTGAGCCAGAGAATGAAGACTATGTGGTCCACTGAGGAAGACATCACAGGCAGCAGGTGGGCTTGTTCAGGTGAGAGGAAACCTGGCAGTGGCAATCCAGTATTCCATCTCCTAGCCTCGCAGCTGTCTCATCCTGAACAGCAGGCACAGGAAGCTCCAGAATGGCGGGGCATCTGCACTTACCACAGTTGACAGGATCCTCATCAGAACCATCCTGGCAATCTGTGTCACCATCACACGCCCACCGCTGGGGGATGCAGTGGCCATTGCGGCACTGAAAGTTGGAGGCCTCACAGGTGTGATAGATAGCTGCCAACAGAGAAGAGGGACAGTCACATTTCCCTCCTCTACTCCCGAGCGACTATCAGGATGGACAGAGAAGAGGCTGTGCCATAGGGCTCATGGTGTGAACTGCTGGAGTACCTGCAGGGACTGAGGCACACGGGGCTGACCCCTCCATAGGCAGGGACTTGAGTCTGTGTGCTACACAGTGGTACAAAAGCCACTACCCAGGTCTGCATGCCAGGCCAAAACTCACCCCTCTTCACAACGACCTATGGGGTCAGTATTACTCCCTTTCCACAAATGAAAATCAAGCTTGGAAAAATGAAGAAACTTAAATATAACATCATGGCTTATACTTTTTCTATTACATCTTGTGACTTTCTCCTCTCACATAGGTCCTCTTTTTCACCCAGATGCTATGAAATAAGGAAGGGTGGCATGTACTCTGGAAATAAAGTTCTACACCTGGTCCAATCACTCTCTGGAGGCCTCAATTTTATCTCCTTATATTGATATTTAAGTGATCTTTGAAGGTCTGAAGGGCCATGACTGTATACAATTCTGAAAAAAAAAAAAAAAAGACCCAATTTCAACTTCAGACCCCAAGAACATTAAGATTCATCCAGGTCCAGGGGAACAAGGTTGTGAATACTCTACTCGAGGGTTTAGGGTTTTGTGGCCATTTCTTCCACCTTCTGTCTCTGTGTCTTTCACACAGCTTCCAGCAGCAGCATGTTGGGACAGAGCATCTGGAGGTTCACAACCTCTGTGGTGCATCAAAGCCACTACGAGGAGGGGCCCAGGAAGAATTTGCCATTTTCCGTGGAAAACAAATGGTGGTTACTGGCTATGATGACTTTGTACTTTGGATCTGGATTTGCAGCACCTTTCTTCACAGTGAGACACCAACTGCTTAAGAAATAAGGATGTTTTAACATCCCCTTTAACAGATGTGAAGAATTTCTCAGGAGGTATAATCTCTTTGGAAACAGATCAGACTCTTGAATAACCAGTAGATATGTTTGTAAAGAACCAATATGACATGAACGCCTAATGCCTCTTCTCTGAAATACAGAATGTGATTACTGAACATGTGCTTATTTTATTATTTTGGGGAATTCTCCAGCATTAGTTTCTTAATCAACTGTATATTAGTTTGTTTCATAGTTTTAAATTTTGAGATTTTAATTTTTTGATTCTCAGATCAGAATCTTGTTGGTAATTTGTTATATAGTGACATTGGTGGTTGTAATTAATTTAAAGGGAGAGAACAGATGTATTTTTAGTTTTCCTCTGTACTTTAAAGGAATGATTGTTTTTTCTCCACAAGTAATAAGCAAGAATTTTTCCCCTCATTAACTGTACTGTTAACCAGTAAATATAAGATACAGCTAAGAGCATGTTCCCAATTTATTCTAGAGCGTTAGCTACCATATGCCCTGAGTAGAAAGTAAAAGATGACATGGTTCTGATTGCTGATCTTATCAATGAATTATTTATACATAGTGAAATGGTGCTTATTACTTAAAATAAAAGTTACTTAGTTTCTAGTACTTTAGTAGTAGGCAGGGAAAAGTTAATTAGCTACCAAATATTAATCCTGGCTTGTTCACTTTTGGAATACTACAGGTATCAGATGACTGCTATAAGAAGGCATCGCAGACTGACTGTCTGTCCTCTAGATGTTTTGGTAAGAGGGTGCTACACTGTTTTTAAACCAACATTTAAAAACTAGGACATTCATATAAAAGTACATTTCTGGATTCCTGAAAAATCATTCTGAACAATTCTGCATCCCTTCGTGGAACAAAACAGCTGCTGGGCCAATCCTCATCATAAAATTAGACTTCCTTTTGGGCCCTAGTATAAAACCGATTTGCTAGAACCTTTAAGTTTTGATATTTTTCTCAATTTATATGCTAGTGGCCATTTTTAGCTTCTTTCTGACAACTGTCCAGCAATCTTCATTCCGGTGACTGCCCCCATGATCCTGTACTTTCCTGTCATTGTTTCTTACTATCCAGTGATAAATCAGTGTCATGCTCTGGTGTTTTTCTATGGAACTTTAAAGATTTTTTTAATCTTTGGTAACAGTACATGCAAGAGTAAAACCTTAGGGTTTATGAAGTCATTTTGAACTCTGGATTCCCATCTTTGTTATTAAATTATGAAAAAAAACATTCATCCAAAGCTTCAAAGAAAAGAAGCCTCAGAACCTAGAACAACCTAATCTTCTGGAGAGTCGAGACCAACATCCACCAACCAGTAACAAATTGTGTCTATCACGCTCATTTTTAAAAAGAGGAAGAAGAGGAGAAGGAACAGGAGGGGCTAGAGAAAGAGGAGGAGAAGGAAGAGGAGGATGAGGAACAGCAGCAGCAGCTAGTGAAACAGAGAATCACTATTATAAGTGAACAGCCTCATTTCCATACATGGGTTGAGGTCACTGGAAATCATTTAGAAACATCTCAAAACCTTGGTCACAAACAAAGATTCAAGTGTATAATGTCTGCCTCAAACCCAACCAACACTGTAAGTGCCTTTTCCATCAGATTTCCCCTTCTCTGAGACAGAAGCTGTTTGTGTCTATTCATTGTTGAAAAAAAGCCAGAACTGGCCTTGTTTATACCCAGAATAAAATAACTTACAGTAATCCTGTGACCCACAAAGGAAACCTTCTGAGATGTTTTATGGATGTCTGAAACTTGGGCTGTCACTGAACCCTATATATATACACCATGTTTTCCCCCTGTATACACACAAACAATGAAGTTTAATCATACACCTAGTAAGAGATTAACAAAGACCAATAATGACACAGAACAATTATAAAATTATCAATAATAAAAGTCATTTAAGACTTGTGAATTATTTCTGGAATTTTCCATGTAAAATTTTGGGACCATGGTTGATGACAGGTATCTTAAATGATGGGAAGCAAAACCATGGATGAAGAGTGAGGGAAGCGGCCACTACAACCTAGATGGACTCTTCGTTTGTTTCTGTGTGAGCGGGGCATCTTCATGTAAGAGAAGGAGGCAAAACAAGCAAAAGTGTGTTGTTAAAAACAAATTACAATTTTCTATTCAACTGAGATAACTGGTAATAAACTGCTCAAAGGTCTGGGAAATTGGCTTTCTTTAAGGCTACTTTTTGCAACAGCTGGAAATATAAAGAATCTGACTTTTCAAATCACTTAGAACAAGTGTGATCCATTATCTGTCTTTTCATCTAGTTGAATACCAAGGGTGAGTTTGGTAGCATGGAAATAAGTCAATGAGAAGTTTCAGTATTTACAACTATTGGCACTTAGAATTCACTAAACATCTTTTAAAAATATACTTATCTCTAGGGCTGAGGAATGTAGCTCAGCAGCACAGCACCTGCTTGGCAAGCACAAGGTCCTTAGTTCATTCCCAGTATCAGAAAAAAATACATGCACTTATCTCAGATAAGAAGAATAAACGAATCATGCATGTTACATGAGTTTCTGCCCCAGTAACAGCCATCACCTGGAATAGTTTTGATTTAGTGTTGTCACAAGTCTGACAGCTTTAAAAAATATTCCTCACCAAAGTCTTGCTTGCTTCCATAAAATATAAAGTTGCCTCAATTTATTGCCATACTAAGCTATTTGTTTTTATTCAGCCTATGAACTTCATTTTTAATTGAAAACAATTTCAAACTGCTAGCAGAGTTTCCAAATGACAATTCTGGGAGGCATGTCTGAGATCTCCAAAAACAATCCCAGAAGCTGAGATCAGAAACATTCATCAGTTTGCACAATTACATTCAAGTGGTCAAACATGACCAGAATGCATAATAAGTTCTCTTTTTCTGGAATTTTCTATCTCCTGAGTAACTGAATAGGCTCTGACTTTCAGTGCCTGGTAAATAACATGTTTAATAATTTTTTCAATTACAAAGATAGAGGAGATTGACTTTAATCCAGACTAAAGAATTTGGGGAAGAAAAGAAGAGTCTTCTACACAATAGGATTCACTATAAATGTGGAAACAGCAGGATTTACAGAATAAACAATGGTGGAGAGGGGAGTGTGAATTTCTGATAAAAGCCATTATCCTAGACTTACTCTCTGACTTAGGTCTTCCCTGAATTACCAAGACTTTCTGGAACACCTGACCAAAACCATTAGTCAAGCAAAAGTGGAACAAAGCAGATGAATTATGTACTCCAGTGAGGAAAAGCACTGCCTCATTTCTCACAAACACTCCACCATTAGGAAGTGCGTGAGGAAAAAAGAAATGTGAATATAAATACAATTTGAATAGTTAATGATAGAAAAAAGAAAGCATAAAGAAAAACATTAAAAGGTACATCTGAAAAAGAATTAGATAATCAAGACACAAAAATTATAAACATGGTAATAAAAAGTTCAACAGATAAATAAAACAGCAGATTAGATTTAGCTGAAAAGAGAACTGTTGAACTAGAAGGTAAGTGAGAAGAAAAACTCAGATTCTAGCACAGAACCCCAAAGAGATAGCAAAAATAAAAATAGGAGGCATGAATAAAAGAGTGAGAGAGTTCAACAAATGGCTTATAGCAATTGCTGAAGATAAGACCAGAGAAAGTAGCCAACAACCATTCCATTACTGAATTATAAGCTATTATAACCCAGAAATGATGCCAAACATAAATTGTCTGATCTTAAGAAAGAAAACAAGACTCAAGCAAGATAAATAAAAATAACTGCACACAAAGGTAGGGAAACTGTGTAACAACAGCAATAAATAAAGGTAAACTGGAAAGAAAGAGTCTTGTTATTTGAACAGATAATCTCTTGGCAGAATTCCAATCGGCACAAGAAACCAAAAACAAATGGAATAATAACAGAAAATTATTATACACCTAGAAAATTCAGGTAGTACAGTCCCCCTGATGGGACAGTCATGCATGTACCACTGGTGGTTCAAGCCCGCAAGAACATGTAAAAGACATGTTATACTAATGAAATTTTGAGTTTACCTCTATCAGACTTGTGCTGTAAGAATAATGGAAGAAGGCACTGGATACAAGAAGCAAAGGTCCCTGGAAAGTTACATATTTATAGAGGTAAGTTTGATTATTAAGAAGAAGAAAAATGACCAATTTTTGTTTATTGGTTCTGGGGGTGGAACCCAGGGGGTCATACACACTAGGCAACCATTCATCACTGAACCGTGTACTCTAAACCCTAATTTTAGGGTTTTTAAATTAAAAAGCTAAAACACTAAATATTTAGTGTTTTAATATACACAATATTTTACTAAGTATTTTAGTGTTGGAACTGTGGGCAGGAATTTTAGGGCTTATATCTGAGAGAAGGGAACAATATTAAGAATACACATAAAATGTCAAAAAGTAATAGCTAAAAGAAATCAAGTGTATGTGGCCAGAACCAGGGTGAGTTGAAGGGAATAAAAACCACCCAGATCCTCATGTCTAGCAAAAGAGGAAACAGAACAAGTATGGAAAATGTATGCATACCAAGGCCAAAGGGAGGTCAGCTGGCCCTGACTTATTTTTTCTGACATTGTACATAGCTAATTTAATATATCAGGAAATGAAATGTCACATCACGCATCATAATGATCTCACATTAAATCTCTAACCACTCTGATATGAGAAGAAAAAGAATCATCCTTAAAAGACCTGGATAAACAGCCACTGGAACAAGACTGCAGTTGAGTGGAAAGAACTCTAAATTTTCCCAGTGAGCCCTGGCAGAAAAAAATCAGAGATAAAACTGGGAGTGTATGACAAACCTGCCCACAAAAGTGAAGTTGGTAATTCATTCTGGAAGACCAGCACATGCTGCTGAAACACAAGACTGACTAATGTGGTTGTGGAAACAAGATGTTCTATCACGCTGCAATTCATAAACTAAAATGCCCAACTGTGTCCCTCTCATTTATTAACCAATTATCCGTCTAAACCTAAGGCTTCAAGACAGCTTCTGTGTGTTTCCTGGGCTGATAGCAGTTCCTTCACCCACCTATATGGGCCACACTTGTACACAGAAGCATTTTTCAAAAGCAGAAGCACAGACACTGAGACTGCACCAGAAAGGACTCAAGGGAGCTTTCTCAGGGACTGCAATGTAGTAATATCACCAGGCATCCTAAGTGATGTATATGGCTACCATCCTGAATATATATGGCCACCATCCTGGTTATGGGAGACAAAGTTCTACCTACTGCCCCCACCATAATGTATGTGGTCACCACTCATTCATTTATTCATTCATAAAAATACTATAACAAACATGAATGAACCCAGAGCAAAAATTAGAACACCTATCTTACATCACCTTGTATTCCCTTCACATTTATGGTGTTTCCAACTTTATTGTCAGTGAAATTTTATCTCAAATAGGCACAAGTACAGTTTACATTTTAATTGTTTAGGAGTCCCTCTGATGCTCCAATTGAAAAATATGAGCTAGCTTAGTCTTACTCAAAGTGCGGTCCCCAGACCAGGAGCTGATGTATGAACTGTTTATCATTGGTCCCAAAGAACTGAGAAGAGTGAACCAGAATAAGACCAACTGTGTCACCCAGAACACTGAGACTTTCTTGATGAAGGAAGCAGGTTGTTTGTGGGGAGCAATGCTACATAATTTTAGGGGAAAATCATTTGGTTAGCCTAGTTCTCTTGCCTACAGCCCAGCTATGGAATTCCAAGACATAATTCCATTTTGGCCTCCAGTCACAACTGAGACCTCAATGATCTGGTGATGCTGTGATTCTCTAGGGCAAGAAACATCCTGGGAGCTGAAAACATCCTGGGAGCTGAAAACATCCTGGGAGACAAACATCTACTCAGTTCCTCATTGTTCTTGGACTGTTACCATCTTATTTATGCAGGATGTACTGAACTCTCTGCAAGTCATTTGTTACATTTGTGTCTCCTGATATACTGAATAAAAGTTGCGGTAAACTGGGGGCTTTCATCTTTGCTGCTCAGAGCAGCACTGATCAGACCCAAAGCTCAGCTTCTTCTAGGTCTCATTTTTCTACCTTTCCTGTAATTCGCCTTGTGCTACCGTGGCTCACAGGAGACTAGGACTTACTGCAGAGGTTCTGGTAATGTCCCCTTCCCCAGTTCCCTACAGTTGTTAATTTATATTCTGGCACAAGCTCCTTATCTCATTACAGACCAGCTCTCTGAGAAGCACTGATTGGTTGGCCTCTAAAGTCCAAGCTGATTCTCAGACTCCAGATTCTATGACCATTTAAGGCTATATGCCTTGGTGAGTAACTGAGACTAGGAGTACTGACCGGTACAGTTGGCTTCATCGGACCAGTCCCTGCAGTCATTGTCCCCATCACACACCCAGGAGGAGCGGATGCACATGCCAGAGCTGCAGTTGTACTCATCACTCCGGCACTGGTGCATTTCTGTAGGTGAGACAACAAACACTGATGTGAATGAAAATAAAGGTTTCCTCAGAATTCTGTCTGGTGTCAAAGCTCATAGGGATAGAGACAGGCCCATTTCACACATTACCTGTACATAACTCAGATGAAAAGGACTTTGACCAGGAATGTTTATCATGTATTGTCTAGAGTGTCTAGATGAACAGAGCGACTTTTAACCAGGGATATATGTTCATCGAGAGTAATTTCCATCAAGTGTGGTACAAATGGATTACTGATACCCATGCACTCATACAGTGGGTTTCCTGACAGCAAGAGCAGCCTTGTATATTTATCCTGGTCTAGTCCACAGATACTGTCATCTTCTGTCCTTGCTATGATGGGAACAGAGTTGGCAGCAGTGAAGGAGGAGATCAAAGAGTATAATTTTCAAAGAAACAGAAGACTCCTAGAGACATGGCATGTGGGTTGAGAAAACAAGTAATGAGAAGTCCATGTGTGCTGATCATGTGGAGAGGCTGAGCTCAGGGAAAGGAACATGAATGCTGAGCTTCCAAGCAGGAGGAAACACAGCTGGGACCTTCTGTAGGCACAGTTCTGGATGTCAATGCACAGGCTATCTCTACAGGGGGTGGTGCCTGGGGCAAACAAACCAGTGCAGCCTGAGATTAGAAAAGAAGCTGCTACAACATCTTTCTTAGGTCCATGGAGATCATTAAAATCTGAATATGTCCCTTAAAATTCATATGTGGAAATGTGATCACCAGGGCAATAATATCAAGAAGTAAAGCCCTTTGGAGGTGATTAAGAATGGGATTAGTGACCTTGCCAAAGAGGTACAAGGGAACTGTTTGCCCCTTCTCCCTGAGGACATAGAGAAGGAATGATCTATGAGAATAGGTCTTCACCAGACACTGAATCTCATAGTGACCTGATCTTGGACTTCCCAGCCTCCAGAACTAGAAAAAATAAATGTCTATTGCCGATAAATTACTCAGTCTAAGGTATTCTGTAACAGCAGCCCAAAAGGAGTGAGACATGGAACTTGCAAGCGGAATTTTTCACAGCCTCAGAAAAAAGGGATAACTAAGCAGAGACAGGTTGACGGTGAAGGTAGTGAAGTAGATACTTACACAGAAAGATTCTGGAGGCATGAAGAGAACCTGAATCAGAGAGGGGACCAAGTGGGACCTTTGGATGGATTCAGAACCAACTAGCAGCAATGGGGCATGATAGAGGACCTATTGAGTAGCCGACCACATGCCCTGAGGGAGCTGGGTGACATGAAAATACATAGCCATGTGGAGCTTCCTGCCTCCTAAGCAAGGCTAGCTGTGCACTTCAGCCTCCTGAGAATAGTGGAGGCAAAGGCAGGAATGAGGGAGTAAATGGTGTGAATCCCAAGCATATGTCTTACAGCCCCCGATGAAGAAGAATTATAGAACCAAAATGAGAAAAAAATTCCTCCCAGCGCCAAACCAGGGTATCTTCCACGTGAAAGTGGCCCTGAATGAGCTCCACCAGTTTCCTTGTGTTAAAGTGGTTTATGAGCAGACCCTGCTCCCTTTATTTCAGTCCCTGTGAGTCAAACCACCTGCCCCTAACAAAGCAAGCCATGTCCATATGCACATGCACAGCCTAGCTGGACCTGACTGCAGACAGGAGAAAGGGCCTGGCCACGCACACCTACTCATCTCCATGGCTGGGTCAGCATCTGGCCTCCATTTTCACTTCCTTTCTGTGCCTGTGGTCCCTCCAATCTGGTGCACTATGCATGGTGCACAATGTTTTCTTCAGTGTCAGCAGCTGTATAGATGGAACCAGAGCCTGCTGAGGGCTCATGAAATTGATGGGGCAATGGTGTGCATTAGAAAGAGCATGGAAGCAGAAAATAGGAGACACAGGTCCCAGTCACCTCCTACTGCATTCTGACACAGACTGTGTCATCTTGAATATGCCCCTTGACTCCTATGGACCTCACTTACTCAATGTTGAGATTAAAAGGACTGGACTAGAGAATACCTACCATTCCCTGCCATTATAACTCACTATCCTAAATTTTTAAATTCCCATTCAGAAAACAGATGCTCAATCAAAGCTTGCATCATCTAATGACTTTTAACAGGGTTTACTGAATGAAGCAGACTTAAAAAATAAATAGTTCACAAAGGTACAGCTCTGTGCCTTCAAGCAGCTTGTCTCACATGCACTCCGAGGTGTGGGCCAAGTCTGTGTAGCTGTTAACCACCCACTGAAACCATTCAGAAATCTTCCTCACCACCACATTTCACCCTTATAGCATCTCTGCAAGGCAAAGAAGGGTCTATTTCCTCATTTTCCAGATTAAAAAACAAAAGCCAAGCAAAGAGAAAATAAGTGACATGAGCTAAGTCTACGCTCTATCTTTTCTGACCATGAATCCAGTGTCCCATTAATTCTGGATCAGAAATTTAGAGAACTGAATTTTCATGAAAAACAGCGAACGAGTTCTGTCAGAACACAGAAAGGAAACAACTCAATGCTGCTACGTAGATGTAGATGGCTATGCAGCTGAGAGATCATAAATACTAAAATAGATATCAGAAATCTCCATTTCCTCCCCATGTCATCCACTAGTATAACCCAGTGAAGTATAGTGACTCCTCCCTCTCCCCCCAGAACGGGGTTTCTGGATAGCATGGGCCCTTACCACAGTGTCTTTCGTCACTGTTGTCTCCACAGTCATCCTCAAGGTCACATTTATAGGACAGGGGGATACAAGTCCCAGACTCCTGGCACCGGAACTGGGTGTCCAGATCGCAGATGGTGGTAGCTAAAATGGGAAAGAGAGATGACATACTTGTTAGGTACAATTAATTCCCCTCATACACAAACTTCCTACTGAAAAACCAATTTAAAAATAGAGAGAAGCCAGGCATGGTGGTACACACCCTTCATTCCAGCACTTGGGAGGCTGCCAGCCTGGGCTACATAATGAGTTCAAGGCCAGCCTGAGCTACACACACAGTGAGACCCTGTCTTACAAAACCAAACAAATAGAAGGAAGCAGATTTTAAATGTAGCAACAGAAATTAGACCTAGACTAATGGAAGAAATAAATCCCATGAGAATCTGAAATGAATAATCAAGGGAGGTAAGGGCCTATCTTTCCAGGGACAACAGAGAGCAACAGAGATCAATAGGGCCTGGAAAAGAAAGAAACTCATATGGCTGGGAGAGAATGAGGGGCTAGATTGCCTCCTACTACCCCTTCAGAACTGAAGTCTTATGACATGAAGGTATCTTCCTACATAGGTGACAGAAGCGCCTTTAGCTACAAAACTACCACTGGGGACGTCCAGTTCCACACAAGAAGCCAGCACCTCACTGTACATACAGATACGAAAAGTAATGCAGAGGTAGAATTTTATAGCAGAAACCTGGGCTCTGCCTGTAGTCAGTCAAGGCTGGATATCAAATTCTGTCTTTCTCTTTCTCAGGTGATCAATTTTAACCTCCCTGAGCCTGAGTTTCCCCAACAGTAAAGTAAGGGTAAGGTAATGTGACCATGCACTTGTGATCACGGTCAGAAAGACTAAATTTGGAGTCATATTCTACCACCTACACTTTGCTTAAGCTAGCCCTCTTTGCTTCCTTCATTCCCTCTATAACAGAATGCATAGATATTAACTACCTTGGTTTATGATGAAAAACAGAAAGAAAACAAGCTTGGGATCACAGCCTATTGAACAGGATATTTAAAAATAATGGGCTCGAAACAAATGCCACTTCTCTTCCTCATCATGTTTCATGCCCTTCTGGCATCACAATGAGTAGAGAATTGGATTTTCTCCCTCTGATGAATAGAAGCTTCCTGAGCTTGTGCACAAGCCTTAGGATGCAAGAAAGGACTCTGCAGGAGAGGGATAGGAGAGGAAGTCTGTTCTCCAGAGAAGACAGCATGTGGCAGAACAGAACCCTGGGATGGAGGTGGCAGTTCAATGAAACATAGAATGGCAACACTGCTATTAGACACACCAGCAGCTCTATTTGAGGTTCTATTTCTTCTTTGTAATTGAGCTCGTAGTGGAAGGCAGGGGATGAATGCAAAATGACAAGGCTGCAGGGGATTCACGTCAAAACCCTCGTGCCTGACATCCACCCAGCTGGAGGAGTTTGTTTAAGAAGAAGGGAAATCGATTGACAACATCCCTCCCGCACCACTTCCCTCCCCTTCCTCAGCTCTTCCCTGGCAGCTGACGGGGTGCATCTTGGAACTCCCCACACTGCAGCACCCTGTCACGTTTGTCCCTCTCCTGCTGCCTGCCTGTGGACAAGGATGCCTCACAGAGTCACAGTAAGCACACATCTTCCTTGAAAGGAAGGCCATGGGAAGGCTTGCCCATGCCCCTCAGTTTTGTTCCCAAGACATTTCTTATCTCCTCACCTGGACACATCTGTTGGGTAGGGCTGTTAGCTAAGCAAAACTGGGAGAGAGCAAAGGAGAAAGCAACTTTCGGGGTTTCAGGAAAATAGACCCAGCTGACACCGACACCAAACCAGGGGGAACCAAGCCAGCTCCATACTACACCCCTGGGCAGGAGCATAAGCCATAGGAAGCTGTGAGGTCCCAGACCTGAGGCAAGGGAAGAGGATGACCTCAGTGAGGGCAGCATGAAAATGGAAATACTTCCTTCACAACCCAGAACCAATATGAGATCCAGTTTGTCTAAACAGTAGACACTCAGCCTGGGGCAGAGGGGAAATAACATGCTACCCTGTGTCTTTAACTATTGGACATAGTATTGGACATCTAGTTTGTATCTCTCTGCTTCTACTATGCCTAAATATGTTTGGGCAGTTTTTCTTGCATGTGTACACTCTAAGATGCTCCTCTTTCCCCACCCTGATATGTAGTGAATTCTATTCTATTGCTTGCTTCATGTTTTTGATAATATTTATTAATGTTTTTGAAGAGCCTTGGCTACTCCCTCACAAATAGTACACCTTCCCGTGACCCTGATAGGTGGAGATGGCTGTATCTTCATTGGAGTCCTTTTTTGCAAAAGAAAGACATGGAGAGGCTTGTGCCTTCCAAACCTGCCAGTGAGGACACACTTTTCCCTGGATGTAAGACGCATACACTGAAGCCAAGGAAAAATAATGATGGAAGGTCTCATACACAACCTCCTGCCAGCCAAAGGGAGCAGTGCAGAGCACTGCAGGGCCCAGACCATCTTGACTACTTGAATTGTTTCTACAGGTGAAGGGGTGTGGGGACCCAGCCCTTGCTCCAGGATGACTGCCTACATTCACCTACCAGGGGCCAGAGGAGTATGAAGAGCTGCCCACTAACCTGTTCTTACAGTACATTTGGTAAGTGGATCTCTGGGTTAGGAAAGGAAAAGTAACATCCTCAGAAAAAGAAGCCTTGTTATTTGGCTTCATGCGTCCCTTCTTCTAGTCTTTCTCCCATTTAATTCATTCTGCCTGCAGCTTATCTTTCCAATGGTAAAATTTTATGATGTACTTCAGTGGTTGCCAATTGCTCTTCCAATAAAGTCTAAAAGACTCTTGTGGATCTGGGCTCTGCCTGCTCATTCAGCTTCTCTTTGCCCCACTGTGCCCAGATTCTCAACTATTTACACAAGTCCTGATACTCAGACCTCTGCCCTTCACACAACCTGCACCCTTGCCCAGGGCTTTCTTCCCTTCACCTCTGCTTCATGCACCCACACGCCCTTCAGTTGATTAGGGTGTACTCGTGTATCATACAGTGCTTTCCCATCACAACACTCATGGTTTGCTGTAACTGCTGGTTAACTTTTCTAACTCATCCTTCAAACTGTGAATGCCCTGATTCCATCTTGATCACTAGAACAGAGCTTGGAACAGAGAGTGCTCAATTAACGCGTTGGGTGAACATACAAGTGGCAAAGGGTAAACCATCTCCTTTATAAGATGAGGTCAAAGTTATCAAGATTTGTAGTCATTACAGTATGTTATGCATTCAAGTAGTTTTCTTTAAATCCTGCTAAGCAAAGTCATACACTTTACTTGGACCTTAGAAACCATTCAGTACAAAGATGTCATTAACACAGGACACCTACCAAGATCCCCACATTCCAGGCCAAACTATGCACTACTAATCCATTGTAACATCCTTGCATAAGCTTGGCAGGCAGATGGCATCACCTAACTGGAGTAGCACACGGTGACACCTGTTGGCCATCTCTGGAAAAGCTGATCATTAAATTTACAAATCAAAGAATGTCACCTGGTCATCCACTCCAAGTCACCAGTTTTCTTACAGGACCAAAATCAAAGTTAGAACTCAGATTGTCAATCAGCTCAGTGTCAGTCATGTGATGGACACTTATTCATAAATCTCTTTTGCCATGAGTAGTCAGCTTATTGATTAAATATATGCATATGCATATATCTGAAATAATTCTATGTATCGAATATACATTTGCACGTGGGACTGTGCTTTCTCTGTTATCCAAGCCCCATCCCAGGTGGAGGAGCTGAGTAGCCTTCTGCATAAGACTTAGTATTCTGATAACTGGGCCGAGCCAGAAGACTCACGGCAGTTCCTCTCATCGCTCATGTCCCCACAGTCATTGTCGAAATCGCACCACCAAATGCTGTTGATACAGTTCCCGTTGCTGCAGCGATACTGGCTGCGAAGACAGGTGTTCTCTAAACGGGGAGGAAATGAAACCAGTATTATTCTTCCTGCTGGACCACAGGACTTTTTCTTCTGAGTTTCCATTTCCTTTCCTCGAATACCACTGTGGCTTGAATGGTAGACAAGGAAAGGGGTGCCAAGCACATGGGCATGCAAGGAAGGAAGCATTTTCTTCCTCCTTTCCTCCTTGAATTGAAATTGTGGGAGGAAAAGCAGGTTGCAAGGTGTACTAAGAAGTGATAATAGATGAGATCGGGCACGTTCAAGGTAGTATGGCCTCATGGGGAAAAAAAGAAGAATCAAGATACATTATGTACAGGTACAAATTCCCTACAATGAGTATAACCATTATGTATATCAAAAGTGTACCAGTAAAATTAATTTTAAAAAAAGAAGTGATTACAATGATGAAAAAGGATAACAATGACACCAGGTGGGTCTGCTGGATGGCAAAGACAGTACAGCAGCATTACAGAATCATACAAGCAACTCCTTAATGGTCTGTATCTATAAAGGATTAAAACATACATATTCCATATATATATATACATGTATACACACATACATATATATGTCTATATACATATAATATGCATATACATAACCATATCCATGGGTCTCACATCTACAGATTCAACCAACCACAGATTGAAAATATTCCAGGGTAAAAATGTATCAGCACTAAACATGTATAAACAATTTTTTTCTTGTCATTACTCCCCACACAACACAGTACATACCTATTTATATAGCATTTACACTGTATTAGGTATTATAAGTAAGCTATGATTACATGATTTAACATATATGAGAGGATTTGTATAGGCTATATGCAAATACTATACCATTTTGTATAAGCGACGTGAGCATCTGTGGAATTTGGTATCCAAAGAAATCCTAAAACCAGTCCACCTAGGAATATCTGCATAACTATACGTAGAATATGTCCATATTTATTCAACTTAATACCTGGATGGGTTACTAAGACTACTAAGGGATTTTTTTCTGCCCCATTACTTCTTTTAAAAAAGTATTTATATGGTGATTTTAGCTCAGTGGCACCGTGCCTGCCTTGCAAGAGCAAGGTCAAGTTTGATCCCCGGTACCAAAAATAAAAATAAAAATAAAAAATAAAACAACTGTTTGCACAGGAAAATTGCATTGTTTAATAAACTGGATCAAGGGCACATGATGACTGCCCTGTTGTATGGACAATCAGTGCAATTCTGATGGGGAATATGGAAGAGCTGTTTGCCCTTCAACTGGAATTTAGTGTTGACTCTATTTCTTTCCAAATAGCTTTAAGATGATTTCCAGGGCCTGAATGCCTCCAGTTTCTAAGGAAGGATGGTCCATCTCCCCCTTCCCATTGTATTTCTTAAAGAAGATGGACTATAAGGCCTCCATTGTGTGCTTGATCGAGGTGCCTTCAGAGGCTGCAGTGAAAGTGAGGTTAGGATTACAAAGCAAATAAGACCATAAGGAAATGCAGGAATTCTGGCCATCAATCCAGGCACTTGGTGGCAAAGCTTCCTTCTGGGGGTTCACCATACTGACAGAAAAATGAGGTTGAGGACTGAGGAAGTATTAACAGCGAGAAGTATACAGGAAAAAAAATTAAGCAATGTCTCAGAAGAAAAGATTTTAAACCCATATATTCAAATTGCAAATGAGAAGGGATTAAGGCTGTTCGGTCATGGCTTGGAAGTCAAGGCTTTCAGACCTTTATTTAACATTGGTTTGAAAGTTCAGCCCTTTTGGGCTGGGGGTGGTGGAGAGATGACTGCTGGGTGACAGTAGTTGACTCTGATACAGTCAAGCCAGATATGTTTAGAAGGCAAGTTGTCCAACTTATAAGAAATACAAGTTGCAGAACCTAGATGTGAGGGGTGAGTGAGGACAGGAAGGCACAAAAGAAAGCAACAGTGTACCCTGACAATGGCTGTGTGAGCTGACATTAAACCCAAAGACACAACTGTGACTTTTTCAGCTTGGGCCTCTTCTGAATAAGCACCCAAATTAGGATCCTCTGGGCATCTATTGAGTTTTTTACCTGGCACTTTTTCTAATATCACAAAGGGTTAGGGATGATGGAACCATAGAAAGTGAAAAGAAGGGAAAGACAACAGGAGGAAAAACAAAAAAGGCCTCACCTTCTTTGACACAGGTATTGTTCTTCAGCTGATAGCCCTGAGGGCAGTCACACATCAGGTCCCCAGAAGGGAGGACACTGCTGGCCACTCCCTCTGGACACCTGCAGCTTTTGCCATTGTTGGCCTTGGGCAGGCACAGAAGGTTGCACGGACTGGGTACACAGGCATTGCTTCCTGGAGAGGAGACAGACAGCCATGGTATTGTGGTTAAAACACACAAGAGGACTGATGAGCAGAGAAGACCACACAACAACTGTCTCATCCTATAGATAGTACTTCAAGAAGCTTAGGAAGGTGATGTGGCCAGCCCCAAAATACCTTCCATGCTGAAACCCTTTGCTCAGATCCCTCAGCAGAACTGACCTCCACAGCCCTGCTTTCCCCAAAGACTTGCATCTCTAGCTCACTCCATGGAACTTCCCCGGAGCCAAACCAAGCAGCAGATGCTCCTCCCCCATGGAACCGGTTACTGAAGGCTAATAAAACAACCAAGGACCTGGATCTGGGAGAAGAGTTACATAGTGCTGGTGCCAAGGTAAAGCCAAACCCTGCACTGGTCAAAGTGGTGCCAAGACAAATGAATGTGCAGCTGTGGTTGGTCAGAAGAGAGTTAGGACACAGGGCACAGTTATAGAGAGGACACCATCAGGGCCCCGGATAGAAAAATGATGGCTTTGCTATTCCTACATGCAGTTCACACAAGACTCACCTAGAACTCCCATGTCTGGGTCCTTACTATCTTTCCTGCTTCTTTCAATAACACTTTTCATCACTTAAGCTAGCCTGAGTGGGTTTTGCTTCTTAGCACTCAAAAGCCCTTCTTTAAAAGGATATGCTGGGGCCTAGATAAAAATCCAGGTCCCACTTTTTCACTTCCTTTATGCCAAGCAGCTAAGGAAACACCATAGAACTTGTTAGCCACTATCATGCAACAAATCCACAGAACAATTGGTTAATGTTGATCTTTCCCACTATTTTCAATCTTCTCTCTGGATCAGCTTAGTGAAAAGTGTCACACAGAGTTCAAAACATCCATCACTGCACTTTTGAGAGAGCTGTGTGGGTGAACAAAAATGATGAAAGTGCTTTTCTGTCCCCCATATCTGGGGGATGGGGCAGAGGATGTGTAAGCTATTTTGTAACAAACTGGTAATTAACACAAAAACCAAAAATATAAAATATATGTGGTTTTCTTTTGCTTGGGGTCATTTAATAAACATTAAAAACGTTAGTAAAACTCAACTGTTGATTCGTTTCTTGTGCTGACTCACGGTGACACTCCTCCATCAGCTATTCTAGTACTGCAATCTGTGTTCACCCAGCCAAGACCTCAACTAAGCTATACTGACCCACAGGTTGGAAAATAGGGTTCATTAATGACAATCAGTACTGATACAGGTGACAATACCCTCAAGTGCTTCAGATATGTTGACACCTCATCAGTTTTAAGTCATGTTATGAATTGTTTTAATCCACAATCATTTAGCCACAATGTCTCTTTGATGCTAAAGAAAACAGTAAACAGCATTGCTAAACAGACAAAATATACACATCCAGTGAGAGAAATCCATGTGACGAAATATCCAAAAAGGCTCAGCAAATAACTTAATCAATCATAATGGCTTAATTACCACAGTAAACTAGTCAGTTGATCAGAAGAAGCCTTCGACTGATGTTCACTGGTAGTCTGTGGGCACAGACTGCTCCTTTGACTAAATATACATGACCCTGGCCCCAGAGGGGATATGGAATTGGCACAGAGTTTTTCACTACTGAAAAACAACTCAAAGGTTTTGGTACATGTTCTTTGTATTCAGAGGACAACATACCACTCAGTGTTCTAAGAAAATAAGCAAGAACAGAATATGTTATTGAAACATACTCAATTACAGGATGATATTTTCATATGAATTACGTCTTTAAAATAATGTGCACAATAAACATTCCCACCCAACCAAGCAAGAGCTAAGAGTACAGAACCCCAAATGTGTCTCTTTCAAGAGGCTGATCCAGGCAAAGACATAAGAAATGGTAGTCTGAGCAGCAGCATCCGGGGCAAACTCCAAACAAAGCCAACCAGGTCACAAGTGCAACAGGTAGGCAGGCCAGGAGCATGTGGCTGGGGACAAAGCAACAGAACAGAAAATAGGAGTGCCATGCCAGAGAGCACTTAGAAGGGGACAGAAGGAGAATGCAGCAGACCATGGCCACAGACCTTTCAGGATCCCAACCATTCTGTGTAGGTAGGATATACAATATGAAGACCATCATCCCAATGTGGAGAATGAAAAAATGAGAACAACTATCTTCAAAGTTGCCCCCTTAGAAGACAAACAGCCCCAGGACATCTTCACAGAGCGTATTCAAAACATTTTCCAACTTCCTCTTTGCAAAAGTTCCTCTAGAGTCAGTTTAGAGCCACAAAACTATTATCTCACTGAAGTATCTATGACCTTGGCAATTATCAAAATTAAGTCTATCTCCAAATAATTAATATTTGCCTTCATTATAAATGTGTAAAAGGCAGTAATTAATGCTGGCTCTGAAGAGCTGCAAAACTATAAAATATTTTTAAACATTGCAGCATCAATTGACCACATCAATAAATTTGCAAAGTAACCTTTTTAAAGGGAAAAAAACCTCTTTGTGAAAAATATATTCCAGTAACACTACTTAAAAATCAGCCAGGTATCAAGACAAGAACGGTACCCACTTTATAACCAAATAGCCTCAATTAATAAATCTTCCAAGTGAGTATAATTTTTAGCACAAACCAGCATAAATCAAATTGTAGTACACTGAAGTACTGTCATGTTACTAGCATGCTGCCATTTCAGTCACAGAGGGTAGACAGAGCACAGCCTGATGATTTCACTGAAGTTCACTGAGGTCAAGTAGTCCACAGCTGGAATTCTTATCACTTACTAGGTGTATGACCTGGACAAGTTACTGAACCTGATTTTTATTATCTCATCTATAAAATGGGAATATTCATAGTACACATTAATTTTGGAATGACTAAGGAGATTCCCCAAGCTCAAAAGCACACTAGGGTGGTAGGTATGACAGAACAACTTGTTAATAAATATATTTATCATTGTTTTACACATGACTAATAAAAGGTCCTGTATGTATTTGAAGCAGATAACAAAAAGAATACAGATGGACTGGCATCAGGGGTTACTAATATGTATCAAGAACTTGTAATACCCTTTTGGTGTGCTAACAAGGCAGGCAGGTTAAAGGAAACAAGCTGAAGGCCAAGAGGCAGGCAGTGTACATAGGCTGCGCTGGCAGCCAGATGCCACTGCAAAAGCTTTGACTTAACTCAAACTGGCCTGAGAGATTATCTGCTTGTTTCTCTATCCCGGTCCACCTGGAAGTGTCTTGTTCACAGCCAATGGACAGCAAGAGAATCTCAACACAGAGACAGGAGCAGAGAGTCAGTAACTGGCCCTGGGCCAAAGGGAAAGTCACAACTGGTCTTGTTCAGCCAGAGGCTGTGATTCACCGAACACCACACGTCATTGTTTCAAGCCAGGCTTTCCTCAATTCAGACCCTACCCTGACCCCTAGAATTACTCTGGCTGATTTAAATGAAGGTGACTCTTTGAGACCTAAAAGGGAAATACACTGAGAATCACAGCCCTGTATGCCCTATACTAGGAGACCACAAATGTTCACCTGTGCTGGAGCTGTTGGGGTGAAACGTGAACCAAAACGAGAGTGGGGAGCCCAGGGACCACCAGACTCACCTGAACATGGCATTGCAGATGCTGCTGTGCGTACATCCAACATGTGCTTGCACACTTGTAAAATGGAGTCCAGCTCCTCTGTACTAGGTGGCAAATTATAGAAATGCTGACAACTCACTCCAAAAGGCAGTGGGAAGAGTAGGGCCTCCATCAAATAAAGGCTCAGGGATTTCAGCTACTGGTGCTGAGAAGCAAGATTCCTCCATCCCTTCCTGTTTAAAACATGTATCTCCTCTCCAAAGGATGTGACTTCTCTGAGACTATAACCAAAGCTCAGCCCCTATACTAGTGAGAACTTTTGAGAAAGCTAATTAATATCTAAGATTTCTTTCCCTAACCTGCAAACCATGAATCATAATACCAGTCTGTCCCCTGACAGGTTGTGGGGAAGACAACAGTAAGACAGATCTACTTTTGGTACCGGGGATCAAACCTGGGTCCTTGTACTTGCACAGCAGGCAGTGAAGCCACTGCACCAAAGCCCCAGCCCTAGACAGATCTACTTTTGTAGGACACTGTAGTCCTCCAGGGGAGTTCTCATCCTATCTTCCTTGGTCCCAAAGGGATAACGATATCTATAACTGTATTATTTTCATTGTCAATTTTCTTTTAGTACAGAGTAAGCCAAGAACCAGCAAAACAGCATCAACATTCTAGTTCAAAACAAGAAACCTAGAGGTTGTCAATAAAGAGAGTCAGTAAACCCAGGATGCTATTTAATCCTGTAGAGATAAGGAGGGTAATTCTTAAAGGGACTAGTTTTCTTGGGAGTGCCCTGGTCTTTCTCCTACAGAATTACCAGCATTGTTGGAGATATGCAAGAGTAAAGGCAGCCAAGGAAGGAAGGCTTCCTACTGAGTAGTCCCAACTTCCAGGATCAAACCCTCTAGCAGTGCTTGAGCCTCATCCACCCAACAGATCTTAAAATGCCAACCATATACACCCAGGCAGCCCTTCTCCTCTCTTTTCATCCTTTCTTCCTTCAACAAATACAAACTGAGCACCTATAAAAGGCCAGGGACTAGTAAAACTGTTGAGAAACAAACAAGGCATAGTCTTTTCCTTTATGAGGTTTAGAGGTTCAGGGCAGGAAACATGAATGAAAATAGTGTACAACTACACACAGCCATCACAACAGAGGTGGGTATGTTCAGTGGGCACACGACTGTGTGAGCACCCAGCCCAGAGCACAGCATGGCTCCCTGTAAGTGTGCCAAGCGGGGATTAGGCACATGCTGGGCTTCTCCCAGCTGCAACCAAAGTCACACCACCAATCAGTGAAGGGCCAAGGGCAGAAGGAGGCTGTAATTACCCACCAAGCACCAACACTCTCAGCAAGCAAAAACATGCTGTCTTCCAGCTGTTTGTGTATCATTAGAAAAGAAATTAAGATATCATTAGGAAGAAATTAAATAATGTGCATGTTGTCGTGACAACAAAGACGCAGGCTGCCAGATCCTGCTCTGAGTAGAGATTGCCCACACGCAGCCCCTTCTTGAGATCAACTCTGGGGAGATAAAGGAGGAGACTCTGTCTTACCAGTGTTTTTCCCCTTGTAGAATATCTTCATGTCCATCAGCCCTGTGAGCTGGCTGGCCAGAATCTCCATCTGGGACCCGCTGTATTTGGAAGCTCGGAATATGCTGAGCTGTGACCAATCATCCCAGTAGATTTCATTCTAAAAAGAAAACTTTTGCCTATTAGGCCAGATCTTCTGTGCTTTGTTCTGGGCCCTTTGTAAAGACAAGAGCTCCCTCATACTAGAGATAACAAATATTTATTGGCTGAATACTGGGTTAAGATTTCACTTAAATGAAAGACTCAGTGGTTTCATCCAAACCTCATGAACTATCCACACAGAAGGAACTGCCCCCAAAAAACTATCTGGTGAGCACTGGACCTTGACTACAGCAACACTCCTCAGTTTGAAATCTGCTTCCCAATGTGGGTCAGAGGTCTTTGGAATACAAACAGACCTGAAAGACATCAGAGGGAATAGGCTGCTCCTCTTCAGTTAATGGGGAATGAAGCAAGGAAACCTTACAAAAGGTGAAGACACAGAACCAAAATGAAACTACCAGCACTGAAGGGCAAATCCAGAACACTCATGAAAAATAACCTCAGCTGTTAATTTTTTGAAATGTTAATGATCTGAAAGGCAGGACCCCTGACACCTTTGTCTGGCATCCCTCCTTAAGGGCTTAAACAATTCAGATTTAAGAGCTTAAACAATTCAAATTCAGAAAAGAACCAATTTCCCACAAGTCTGACAGTATCTCTGCAAAAACCCAAAAGGTCCTGGCTCTGGACCTCAGGAGGCTCTGGACCTTCTCTGCAGAATGCCCACTGGTGGGACAAATAAAGATTCACCTTAAAGACAGCAATGGCATAGGGATGCGGGAGGTTGTCCAGGATAACCGAGCGCTGCTGGCCACTGAAGGTGATGCGCTCGATGCAGTCCAGGTAGGCATCCGTCCAGTAGATCCACTGGTCATCCACTGAGATGCCATTGGGCCACTTCACATCCTCTGACACAAGACGATGGGCAGAAGAACCATCCATATTGCTCCGATAAATTCCTGGCTTCAAGTCTCCCCAGTCAGTCCAGAACATCACTCTGGTCAAAATAGGCAAAAAGAGGCATGAGAGCTGAATACTACTCCAGTGAAGAGAGAAACCTCTCTAACAATCATTATCATAATCATCTGGAACTGTGATATCTGAAGCCGCTAAATCCCCAGACCTACAAACCCCTCTCCTGGAATTTATTTATAATCAAATTATGTGAAGATAATATACAAAAATGTACATATATGTATATTAATCATAGTGTCCTCAGTAGAGAAAAAAAATGACAGTACATATAAAAGAATATAATGAAAGCCAAAAACCTGTATTTACTCACATGAAACTATCATGCATACAGATATAGATACACATCTCAATATCTATCTCTCTATATATATTTCATTTAAAAGTTACAAAGTAGTAATTACACTATGATTCTATTTGGTGTGTGCACCTGCATCTAGGTGTAGGGGATGTGTTTAAAAGACAATCCTTGTATGTAGGTAAAAGTAATTTTGAAAGATACATAACTATTAACAATGATTAGCCCTAGGATCCATGAAGGTAAAGAGTTAAGATTGAGAACAGAAGAAACAAATACATTTCATTTCATAAACTTCTCTTCTCTTTTAATACTTGTAATCAGTACATAGATTGCTTTTAGAATTTTCTTTTCAAAAATGAGTGCTAGTTCTCAATCATAAGGGCTACAAACGAGGAAAGGCAAGGAAAACTAATACAAAATTTCCATGTTAGTTGTTTCCTTAAAGAGTTAATGAAAAGCACCTTTGCATTTCTCAAATACATACTAATTTTGAAACAGAATGGCCACATATCCTGGAGGGGGTAGATAGGGAAAGACAGATTGAATTAAATATTGTGCCATGCATGAAACTCAAGATAAAAAATCCTCACAATATATAAGCAGGTCTGTCTAGTCTACAGAGACTCTCTTCTAATATTACCTTTTTTAGAGAAACACCCCACAGATGCAAGACATCTGGATGCCCAGAGCGTCTGATGCTTGCTAATGAGAAGCAAATGGAATTACCTGACCTCCATGACTGTGCAGTGGTTACAAAACTCTCAGTTAATGGATTATTTCCACCACATTCACAAGAAGCAGAGTTTTTGCCCAGAGGTTTGCATTTTTATGAGACTCTACTGTTGCAACATCTGACACAATGCTGATTTCCTTTTGGGGATATACATACCCTTCTTGGGGCACGAGGACCAGGGCCCTGGGCCGATCAAGCACAGAGGAATTGACGATTGTGAGTCGGAAGTCACCATCTGGGTTAGCTACCTGACAAAAAGAGGAGGGGAAGGCCAAACTAGGTCTGAGCTTTTTAAAAAATCCTTATTGTCAGAGTCCTCTACAGCTTCTATCTGCATCCCCTATACCTACCTGACTCCCTTTCCCAGAGCCATCTGAGAAATTTGCCTCAATTTCCAGTCAGAATGAACTGACTTCTCCCATGGCTCATGTGACAATTTTCACACAGTCTGACAGAGAAGCTAGAACTACCTATGTGCCAAACCACTGCTCCCATTACTATGGCATGATGACCTGTACAGTAAAATGCAGTCATCCCTCAGTAAGACACTTCTACTCATCCCTCAGTATCCTCAGGGGGTTGCTTCTAGGATCTCCCTCCACACACATACACACAAACAGATACCAAACTCTACGGATACTCGAGCCCATAATACTGAATAATATCTGCATGTAACCTGTGCACCTCCTCCTATATACTTTACATCATCTTTAGACTACTGTTAATACCTAATACAATGTAAATGCTATGCAAATAGTTTATATTGTGTTGTTTACAGAATAATAAGCAAAGAAAATCTGTACATGTTCAGTACAGTTAGTTTTGTTTTGCTTTTCTGAGTATTTTCAATCCATAGATACAAAACACACAGACTTGGAGGGCCAACTGTACTCAATTTTGTTAACTTATTTAACCTACCCATGTTACTCCATGCTTCAAAGCCACCAACAGCTCTATTCTACCCACAAAACAAATTAACAATATCATAATCTTGGCCCGGGCATTTAGCTCAGTGGTTTCACCACCTGCTGTGCAAGCGCAAGGACCCAAGTTTGATCCCCAGTACCAAAAATAAAAAACAAATAAATAAATATCATAAACTTGCAATGAAGACTCCACATTCCCCCTCTCCTGTTTTGGCTCACAGTTCTCCACATCTAACTTGCTCCTGTCCTCTTCTGCTATATCCCAACCCAGGCCTGTCCTCTACTCTACTCACTCTAACACATGGCAACTTTTCTTCAAAATCCAGCTACACGTCGCCTCCTTATATCTTCTGACCCACCTTGGTCAAAGCACATCAGGAGCTCTGGTGCCAGACTCATCTTACACCAGTTACACTAACAGTATTTGAGCTGAGCAATGGTAACCCAACAAGCTTGTGAAGAGGTAGTAGTTTACATGTCACCTGCATTTTTCTAACTCTTAGCAAACATACATCTAGTCGGTCACACACAAGAAAGGAAAGGACAGAAATAGCAAAGATGAGATCACCAAGGCAGCATTCAGTTGGTACCAGGCACTCTGTATCTTGTCCACTTTGGTCAACATCGCTTGGGAGGGGAACACTGCAGTTATTCCCTTCATAGTCAGGCTGAGCTTGGATGCCACAGCCTCAGAAGGCCTCCCTCATCCACCTTCCTAATGCTGCCCACTGCCAGCCATGCAGTCACAGACCCCGCCTTCTGTTCTTTACAGCACTCATCAGCAACAGAACTAATTCTATATTTCTTCATTTTGCTTCCTCCACTGAACCTCAAATGCCTATCGGAATGGGAACCTGCATGTTTTGACAACTGCTATACCATCAGAACCTAAGACCAGATCTGACAAACAGCAGACACAAAGAGTACTTGTGGAAGGGCTGAATGAGTAAATGAATCTTTGTCTTACCCATGAAGAAATAGAAGCTTGAAGAAAATAAGTCCCTTGTGCTGTGTCACTTAGTTGGCAAGGTAAAGCCTGAATTCAGGGCTGCCTTTCAAGTCTGTGTCTTTTGTCTTGCCACTGCACTTGGCTCTCCCCATCTCCTGGCTTCTACTCCAATTCCCAATTAGCACGCCTGCTGTACCTCTATGTAGTGACTATACAAAGAGCTGCTGAGGCAGGGCCAGGGTCTTGGCAGTAGCTTGCAGGAGCTGAACATACCTATACTCCTAAATACAATGCTTGTGGTAGTTTACAGGCCATTTATCACCCTCACATTGCCTTGAGTAGATAAAATGGGAGAAGTTATTGGGTAGCTAAGTGACAAACAGGTGCAGATTAATAATAATGAGGAGGAGGATGACACTGTCATTATTACTCTAGAATAATACTGGGCTAATAATACTGGAATAATATTGATATGGCATTATTATCTTTATGGTTATGACTCTATGCTTCTGCAGTCAAAGTGGTGCCTTAATGAAATTTCTGATAGGTTTGGCATCCTGTTCTCACATGGCACTTTCTTGGCAGTGAACAATCATTCTGAGATGACCCCATACCCCTTTTCTCCCTTCTCTGGAGGCTCAGTTAGTCCATTCTCTAGTTCTCAGGAAATTTCCAGAGTAATTTGAAACACTGGCTCCCACCTCTGTGTCAATCTGGCCCAATGCCCAGGCATTCTGCTTGCTCACTTAATCAAGAACAACATGGAACTATGCATACCTCAATCTTTTTAAATCCAGCATCCACCCAGTAAAGCAACTGGCTGAGGGGCTCGAAGGCCAAAGCTTCTACTGTCTCCAGGCCAGAATTGATGATCACTTCTTGCCCAGTACTCCCATTCAAACAAAGCCGCTAAACAGAGAAAAACAGGAATAAAATGCTGTGAAATGTGCAGGCGACCCTTACAAGCTCATCCCACAAAGGGAAAGTAATCCTTTATTCAACTAGCCAGACTGCCAAGGGCTGAGGCATTTTATAGTCATAAACTTTCCAAATACATGAAGCTGGGTTTTAAAAAGAGCACTGCTAAAATGTATTATGATTTCCTATTTTAAACAGAACAACACAGAGAATTTAATCATTTATATCACTCTGCATTATCATCATGAACACTGGCTACTAAACTAGGCCCTGTATCACAATAATAGGGTCAGAGATTACCGAGATGCCCGAGTCTATTTGATTTTAAAATAAATGAACCAGATTGCTATTATGTCCATGTTCTTATATCTGCTCTTATAGTCCTTCCTTTGCAAGGCTGTTGGCCATTGAGGTCTACCATTGGGAAAAGTACAATCAGTAGTCACCAACACACATTACCATCCCAAAACCCAAGCACTGAAAAATTTTGACTGGGTTGAGAATAGAAATAACACTCATTGGAACTACTTTTCTAAATAGATGAAGTAGACAATGAACACAGATTAAAAAATTTTCCTTTAAAATGTATAGATTCAAGGGTATGAGGGTATGGCTCTGTGGCCTGTCCAGGGACCTTTCATGCTTCCTTCCTGTCTTTGTGTGAGTGTATATACATGTATGTGTATTTTATTATTGTGTTGTTTGTTTGTTTGGTACTGGGGATGGAACTCGGACCCTGTGCTTGCTAGGCAGGCGGCGGAACCTCTAAGCTAAATCCCCGGCCCATTACTGTGTTTGTTTTTAAGAAATGGAATCTCACTAATGTTGCCCAGGATGGCCCCGAAGTCCTGGGCTCAAATGATCTTCCTGCCCCAACCCCCCACATAACTGGGACTACAGTCATACAACACAGTGCCCAGCTACTTCTTGGCTCTGATCTATGTTCAGAATAACTAAAGTGAATAATTACATGAAGAATTGATAAGTCAAATGTTATTATATCATAATTTAGGGGGCGACTAAAAATCCTACATTATTTGTTTCAGCATCTTACCAGTAGGAAAAGTAAGATCTTACTTTTGGCAAAGGATGTGGATTTAGGGCTTCTCTTATCCTTCTTTTACGGACAGAAGTAGGCAGGGAAAGAAAACACTATAACACACAACTGACAAGTTTGTCTGTCAACCCTCAGGTAAGTTACACTCCCCAGTCTCCTGCCATACATGTCCTGAGCCCTTGCTTGAAGCTTACCAGGACTGGGCAGTCACGAGGTCCAGCACCTGGAGGAGACCAAGGGCTGACTCACCTGGATGATGTCCAAGGCCAGGTCAGACCAATACAAGCAGTTGCGCTCATAGTCAAAGTCTAGGGCCACCGCTGCCCGCAGCCCTGTGAGTGGCAACTGCTCAGTTGCTCCAGATGCAAGGTTGTAGCGGTGGATGGACTTCCGCATTGCATACAAGATGAACTCATTCTCCTCTGCCAGGCACAAAATAACAGGGGTGGGTCCAGGGGAGGCTGAAAGCTCCCCACAAGCCTGATCTATTTTTTCCTCACACACCAACCTCAACCCCATTGTCACGTGGTCTGAATAAAGTGCAAGAGCGACCCAGACTCAGAAGGCATGTAATAGAATCACAATTCTGCCTTGGGCAAGTTACTTCAACTCCAGTGAATCTGTTTCTACATCTGCAACTGTTCTATTACTTTTTTTTTTTTTTTTTGCACTGGAGATTGAACCTAATAGCTTTATACTCAGCTATATCTCCAGCTCCTTTTTTATTTTGATACAGGGTCTTGCTAAGTGGTTAAGTTGTCTAGGCTAGGTGCAAATTTTTGATCCTCCTGCCTCATCAGCATTCACACTTCTGGGCCCAGTATAAAGTCTTTAGAGTCACATTCATCAATATAAATGAGACTAATCCCCATGTTCTCCTGACTCTATCCCATAGCATCATACTATAGTTTTCATCTGGAATGTCCCTAAAGGCCCATGTGTTAAAGGCTTGGGCCCCAGGTTGGCTCTATTGGAAAGCAGTGGAAACCTTAAGAGGTGGAGCCCAGTGGGAAGCTGTAGATCACTGGAGCTGTGCCGCCACAGGAGACACTGGAGCCCCAGCAGCTTCCTCTTCCACTCTTTTGCTTCCTGGCCGCTGGGAGGTTTTGCTCTATCACACATTCCCCACCATCACACGCTACCGAACCACAGGTCCAAAGCCAATGATGGACTGAAATGTCCAAAACTGTGAGCGAATAAACCTTTTCTCTTTGTAAGTTAATTGTCTCATGGATTTGTTACAACAATAGGAAGCTAACACACACCATAATCTTGTTGACTACCAACCAGTAATCATTAAAGACCTATAATCGAGTTGTCTAATAAATTTGTTTACTCATTCATATTGTTCACAATGACCAGCAGCTATTAGATCAATCTGTCTGATATTTCAAAGCAATAATCCATTACTTCCAGAATATTTATTAATTTATAATGTGACTATTTCAGCCCACAATCATCACAAACATTCTGTTTCTCCTTAACAAATACTTCCATGATGTACTATGTACCAAGCATTGTTTAGTCTTCATTAACAACCATATGATGGAAGAACTATTATGAACCCAATTTTACAGATGAGAAAACTGAGATCAGAAAGGTTACATAACTCACTCAAGGTCACACACCCAGTAAGTAGCAGAACCAAGATCTGAACTCAGTCTATTACGGCGCCTCTTATGGTGCTGATATTAATCACATCTGATGACTTTCTTTTTGTTTGTTTTTCTTTTTGGTGCTGAGGCTCAAAGTCAGGACCCTGCAGATGCTAAACATATGCAAATACTCAACCACTGAGCTATACCTCCAGCCTGTCATTTTTAAGACATAGAAAGGGAGGCCCAGGGTACTTAAAGAAACTTACTTAATGTAAAACATCAGTACCAGAAGACCTAGTGCTTTCTCTTTTCCACGTAAGAAATAGCCTGGAAGATAATTCAGATTCTTCCACAGGAGTGGAGGTGAGCAGAACATTAGTGTCCCTGCCTATGACATCCATGTGAGAGCTTCTGGACAGCCAATCACGAGGAAGTCTCTGGAAAACAGCACACCCTGGAAGGGCACAGAACCAGCACATCCTTCTCTCCCACAACTCGCCCCATAGATCTCTTCCATCTGCTTGTTCATCTGTATCCTTTGCAAAATTATTTATAATAAATGGGTAATGAGGACCCAACTCAGAGAAGTTGGAGAGGAATTGCCATCCAGAAAAAGGGAGAAAGGAGAAAGGAGGATAAGAAGAAGCTGGGACTATGTGCAGCTTAGGGTAAAACTGAAGATAATGTTTAGTTGCTATTTCTTGAATTTGTCCCTATCCAAATATTTGTTACTTGTGTCATCTCCTTGGAGAGACTAAAAATAAAGACTCTTAAAATGAAAAATAAATGATTTTAAAGAAATCTATTTGGAAAATATGTTGCATATGGTACCAAGATGCAATCTGAATCCCTCTGCCTCACGCCTGGATTAGTCACTACCTCCCACCCCTCCCTCAACCATCCCTTCACTCAGGGAGTTCACATGTACTTTAAAAAAAAAAAAAAAAAAAGGGTTTTGATATAGAAAATTAGTCAAAAAATAAATACACCTGAAAATTTTAAGAAGGTAATGTTGCCTTCTCTTCC